TAGCAGAATCAGGGTTTGTTGCCGTCTCCAAACTTTTAAACCATATGCCTTCAGCATCATCCCTGGCCTATAGGGTCCTGTCCTTGCTGTAGCTCTGGGCCCTGGGTCCCTGTACATCCTTACAGGCTCTTTGAGCACCCATTACCGGGATTCTTTGCAGGTAGAAAAGATGTTCACTTACAGTCCCACAGTTAACTGTGCTTTCCAGGTTCCCCCTCCCTATCCCTGAGGTGATGACATCAGACCCTTAGTTTCAACATTCCAAGGTGCTTGGCACTCTCTCCGGCTACACTCTTGAGTGTGAGGGAGAAGTAGGACTATTGTAAAGGACAAGGGTGAAGGTGGGGTGATAGCTTGCTTGTTTTCTCTCAGATCAGCTGGAGACTCGGCATTCATCCTATCTTCTCCTTCACCCAGGGTTCATTTCTTCAGACTAAATGCCTTTGGAAACCTGCCATCTCTCTGGGAGTCTCTTCACTTTCCTTCATTTTAAATCAATTTTATGTATTGTTGTTGTTTTGTATGATGGGTACATTGGTGCCATGGCATGGGTGTGGCTGTCAGAGGACAACTGGTGGGAGCTGGTTCTCTCCTACCATAGGCTTTGGGTATCAGACTGGAGTTGTCAGGCTTATGCAGCAAGTGCCGTTGTCTGCTGATCCACCTAGCCAGACTTCTCTTGTCTTTTTTGTTATTTTTTGTTTTTGAGACAGAGTTTCTTTGTGTAGCCCTGTCTGTCCTGGAACTCACTCTGTAGATCAGGATGGCCTTGAACTCAGAGAGATCCCCCTGCCTCTGCCTTCTGAGCGTTAGGATTAAAAGCATGCACTATGATGCTTGTTCTCCTTCTCTTGGCTTCTGCAGTAAAGCTGTGGCTCATCATCCTGTAATGGTGGATGGGCTGCCTGCTGGGGGACTGTGGGATCTAGCAGACTGTTACAGTGGAAGGTGTGCTGAGTTGGGCAGGGTTTTTGTCTCCAGTCCTGGCTTGGGGGGTACCCCAGATACTCTGGGTTCAAGTCACTGTCTATGCCAGGTACAACTAGCCATCAAAGAGAAGCTTGGGCAACATGGCTTCAGGGTCCCTGAGTGTTGGACATTTGATGGAGGAACTGATAGGGAAGATATTGGGGACTGGTATATCCCATTCTTATCTGATTCTCATCTATAAGCCTAGGAGACCTGACCAGGAACATGGAGCCTGGCTGCTTGGCTTCGCCTTGGCTACTACACAGGAAACAGCCCTCAGGCTCTCTTTGAGTAAACCTCCTTGGCAGATCTTATAGTTGTATCAGAACTCTGGGCCAGTCTTTGATATAGACAGTGGTTCTCAACCTGTGGGTCATGATCCCTTTGAAAAACCTCTATCTCCAAAAATATTTATGTTATGATTCCGTAGCAAAATTAGTTATGAAGTAGCAATGAAGGTTCTATGGGAGTTCTATGGTCAGGGGTCACCACACCATGAGGAACTGTAAAAAGGGTCATAGCATTAAGAAGGTTGAGACCCACTGACCTAGGACCTTCTCTATTTCAACTCCAGCTTTGGCCTGGCCCATACCCCTGTCCAATCTCCCAGGCTGGGAGCCTGCTACAGACAGAAAACTGTGTGTTCATATCTGCCCTGTCTTATGCGTGTTTGCCCGATGTATGTGGATATGTCTCCATTTCTAGGAAGGACTATTGTTAGTTGCTGTGCAGTATAGCAGTTCCAAGGGCTTTGCAAATTGGAACAAGTTTGGGCCAGACCTGATTTTGCACCAGCACTGGTTTCAGAAACCAATAAGTAACCTTTCATATTAAACCTAAATGTCACTAGGTTAGTGAGATCTGACCCATGACTGCTGGCCATGTCTGTTTCAAAGCTTTCTCTCCCAGCCCACCATGGAGCAGGCATGGGATCTGCATCAGACTTCTAGGCATGATGGAACCTGACAGTAGCAATTTCAGGGACCTTGAGATAATCATCTTGGGGGTTTCCCATGCAGCCTTTCTCCCCAGGACCTCATCACTGTCCAGTATCATCAGATCATAGCCTGGTGTGCTGTAACCCCATCATTAGCCCTGCCTCCCAGCCACAGACATTGTGGTCCTGGGAGAAAAGTGGGCAGTTGGGTCTGGAACTAGAATGAGCCTCCTGGATTCTGAGGCTTTCAACCTGGTCAGAACAGTAAAAATTCTGATGGGCAGGAGGCCAGAGTTTGACTAGCTTATAGATTCTACCAGTGAGAGGATCAAGGCATTCCAGACTACTGTGGTTGGAGGCCTCATGAAGAATTTGAAGATACAGGCCTCTCTTCTTTTTCTTCTCTGAAGGCTACCTTCTTGTCCTCTAGCTGGTACCAAAGCCCAAGCCTTAAGAACTGACCCAGTTTTAGAGGGCACACACACAGAGACAAATGGTTGAGACAGTGACAGGGTGTCAGTCTCACTGTGCCTGAGGAATAGTTGAAGAACTCTCTCTGAGCATCAGGTCTAGAGGAGATAGCCCACAGCTGTCAGGACCAAATCAGGTCAGTGAAAGTTACCAGCAGCCCATTTAGATGAAGCATCAAATGTTATTCAAAAGAGGAAGTACTCTCATTACGAGAGGGGAACTTCCCTCACTGGAGGTGACCGACCAGGAGTGGAGGATTATTGGGCAGGGATCAGATGTGGAGCAGGTATAGGTGGCTGGCCCTGCTCTTCTGGCCTCTCAGTTTATGTTCCTGAGTGGAGGGAGTCCTGTGGTTTCATTGCCGAACTCAAAAGAATTTTTGATATGACTGGGAGTGATGGGTGTGGCTGTCTGTAAGGATGACTCGAGGGATATTTTGTTTGTTTTGTTTTTAATCTCTGTCTCTCTGTCTCTTTCTGTCTCTCTCTGTGTCTCTGTGTCTCTGTGTCTCTGTGTCTGTCTGTCTGTCTGTCTGTCTCTCTCTCTCTCTGTATATGTGTGTGTGTGTTTGTATCACAAGTGTTTGAGCGAATGTGCCAATACACATGTACAGTGATTAGAAGACAACCTTGGCTTGAAGCATGGACACTTATTGTGCTGGCTAGTTTTATGTCAACTTGACACAAGCTGTAGTCATCTGAGAGGAGAAAACTTTAACTAAGAAAATGCTTCCATAAGACTAGACTTCAGGCAAACTTGTAAGGCATTTTCCTAATTGGTAATTGATGGGGAAAGGACCAGCTCATTGTAGGTGGGTCCACCCATGGGCTGGTGGTCCTGGGTTTTATAAGAAAGCAGACGGGGCAAGCCATGAGGAACAAGCAAGCAAGCCAGTAAGCAGCATCCTTCTGTATGACTAAGGATTCTAGATTCCTGCCCTGACTTCCATCAATGACGGGCTACAGTGTGGAAGTGTAATTCAAATAAACCCTGTCCTCCTCAAATAGCTTTTGGTCATGATGTTTCACCACAGCAGTGGTAACCCTAACTAAGACACTTGTCTTCCAATGTGTACACCAAGTTAGTTTGCCCTCAGGCTTCTGGGGATTCTGTCTTCACCTCCTAGCTCCCACAGGAGCACGGGAATTACTAATACACTACTGTGTCCAGCTTTATGTGGATTCTCAGGGTCTGAACTCAAGTTCTCACACTTATACATAAGTGTTCTACCCAGTGAGCCATTTTTCCATCTTAACCTGAAGCCTCATTTTATTTTTCTTTTATTTAAATTGAAAGGAAAGAAAAGAACTCAGAAACAAAGAATCACTCCACTCATGTCCTCATTCTTCACCTACTCCCCAGCCCAGGTCAATCATAGTCTTTCCCTTACCTTCTTTGGTTTCCTCCTTCCTTCCATTCCTTTTCTCTCTCCTATCTATCTGTCTATCTGTCTATCTATCAGTCTATCTATCTATCTATCTATCTATCTATCTATCTATCTATCTTTGTGATGCTGGGAGTTGAACCGAGGACCTTGTATATATGCTAGGCAAGCACTGAAGCACTGAGCTACCTCCTGGCTCTTTTCTTGTTGACAGGATCTTGCTATGTAGCCAAGGCTAGTCTTGAACTGTGGAGATCCTTCTGCCTCTACCTCCTGAGTGTTGTATTTTCAGTTGTGAAAGTGTTGTTGCTCATGGATGCATTTATATTGTTAAAACAACAAGAGTTAGAAAACAATATAAATTAGAATTCTTAACTATTTCCATCCACTTACCATTTTCTTCCCTCTGGGCAATTCTGGTTTTAATTTGGTGTGAGTGTGTGTATATGTGTTTAGCATGTATGCACATACACTAAGTATCCTTTTAAAAACGTATTGGGACTGGAAACATGATGATTTGGTGGTTAAGAGCACTTGCTGTTCTTTCAGAGGACCTGGCTTCAGTTCCAAGCACCCACATGGTATCTCACAACTATCCATAATCCCATTCCTGGGGGATCAGATGCCCTTTCCTGACCTTCAGTGCCAACAGGCATGAACAAGAAGCACAGACATATTCAGACAAAACAGGTACACACATAAAATAATTTAAAAACCAAACAAACAACTTGTCAATAATATCCCCACACCAGGCCATATAGAACCAGCACATACTATCCTCCATTACAGCTGTAGTTGGTTTTATAGGCAGTGTCTCAGGCATCTCCACATTTCCTGTTTCTCAGCAGCTCCCGTGCGTATGTGATTAGTTTGTCTCTGATAGGAATCTGGTTGAAGGCTACTCACATATAAACTCCAGTGGATATTACCAGGAATAGTGATTAGCCTTCCTTATGGTACAGTATGACATTGTCTTCTATCCTACTCCTTTGCCAATATGGACACTGTCCACTGTTTGTCTGGGCTGCCCCATGCAGGGGTGAACTCCCCATCACCAGAATGGCATCAGTCGGGCTGGAGCCACTGCAGATGGCACTCCTTATGGGGAGAAGAGGAAGAACCAGGTAGCTTTGGAGGTCCCTTCCAATCAGAAATTATGCCCGTCTTTGGATGGCATCATGTGAACAGATCCCTGTCACCGACTGTTGTTCAAAGGGTTTTCTTTCATTGTTCCCATAGGTCAGCTGAAGCTGTCCATTGATGCCCAGGATCGAGTTCTGCTGCTGCACAGTGAGTATGGCTATGTGCCGGCTCACCAAGGGAGGAGAGGACGATCCCCTGTGGGCCTGGAGCTGGACAGGCATGGTGTCACTATGGCATCTTGTCTTTTCCTATAGCGTTCTGCCATTTGTCCACTAACAGAGTGGGCACTTACTTGGGCCACTTTCTGTAGACCCAGTCTCTGTCGACCTCACTCTGAAACGTCTGGAGTTTTGTCTACCAGACCTGTATTCTCTCAGCAGGCTGAAGCTGCTTCTAGACATCTCAAAGTTATACTTGAGCCAGGCACAGCAGGCGCTGAGGAAAAGCCTTCCTGGTTTCCCTGCTGGGTTTTTCCCCCTACCTCATTATTTTGTTTATTCACACAGTGATGGGCAGTGCAGTGTTAGCAGTGTTATGGTTAAGGTCATAGCTTTTGGAGCCAGGCCACTAGAATCCGAGTTCTGGTTCTGACATTTTGCTTACTAAGTAAACTTGAGCAAGCTTAGTTCTCCCCTCACATGGTGCTGATAATAGCAACCGTCGCATGGGTTGTTTCAAGGAGTAACCAAGCTGTATTGGTAAGGTGCCCAGCTCATGGTGGAGGTGTCTATTAAGACAAAACGGGACGCTGTAAACTGCAAAGTTTGTGGTTGAGCATTGCTGCTGTGCTAGGGGCTATGGACACCAAGGAGTACTTCCCGTGCCTAAATGGGGTGGTCAGGGAAGACTTGACTTCCCACTTAATCCCTTTGTCCTTCCTCACACCCAGTATTGCCAAGCTTTTGTTGTGGCCCTCCATGTCTGGACTCTTCAGCTTGGCTTGGAAGGCCCCACCTGTCCCTCTAGGCTCCCTGGCTCTTGCTATGTAAGATAATGTTTATCCCCATTCTGTCCACAACATGCCATATTTCTCAGGAATGTGACTAACTAGGACATCACTGAGCCTCAGGAAGGAAGGCTGGTTTTGTTCTCTGTCTCCTCCACTCCACCCTAGAAGTCATTTCTTGTCCTTAACCTTCTTCCTTCAAGGGCTGTCCCTATTTTGGGTCCTCATCACTGCCTGACCATACTGTGTCACCCTGAGGTTTGGTCTCTCCACCATGATAGGAGAGGTGTGAGGGTGTAGTCAGGGCTACCTTACTGCCATTGATAATCAGGAAGACCCAGGAGGTCACCAGGCCAGGCTCCTGCCCAGGAAAGCCACACCCTAGAGGGAAGGGATACATTCTCAGAACAGTAGCTAGGATACAGGACAGAGAACAACAGGCGCCTGGGTCCTTTGCTCCTGGCCTTAAGGGGCCCAATGTGAAGTTCCCAAGGACCAAAAGAGGGGTGTTCCGTTCCTGCCAGGGTCTCTCTCCAGCTGTGCAAACAGTTTTTGCAAAACGCATCTTGGCCCCTGCCACACCATTTGTCCTGTGTGGTTTGCTTTGGCTTTCCCCCAGCCTCAGCTCTTCATCCCTTCCAGCCTGGCTTCCCAGGCCTCATTCCTCAGACTGCTGGGGCTTTATGTGAGCCAAGCCCCAGGGTCCAACCAAACAAAACACGAAAGAAAACAAGAGATTGTAAGACCTAACTGCTGTGCACCTCAGGCAAGAGAGCCATTCCTACCCTGATATCAAGCACTCACCCCTTTGCTGTCTGTCTGTTGATCTTTATTGTTGATGTTGTTATTTTCTGTTTTGGTGGTAGAGCTGGGTATCAAATCAAGGGCCTCATGTGTGCTATCAAACACTCTACTGACTAAGCCACACCACAGCCCATGTTCATTCTTTTTATTATAGCCTACATTTTGCAGAACATTTACTTATCGGCCGGGAAGTCTACTGGGCACTTTAGAGATTTTGTTTTTTTGTTATTATTTTAAAAGTACAGGTGTCATGTGAGTATCTTCACGAGTTCTTGGGGAAATGGACCACTCAGTCTGAGCAAACCAGTTTCTTGCTCTAGCATACATGATTAGTGGATAGTGCAGCCAGCTTCACATATGGTCTGCCTGCCTCTGGACTCTGAGCTCATGACCATTCGGTGATACTAACCACTTCATAGCACAGTGCCCCATGCAGCTTGGGCTCCCATCCCTGGAGGCTGTCTTGGAAGGTAAAGAGATCACTAGACTGGGAGTCAAGAGACACGGGTTCTAATCTAACTGACGTTTCCCTTGCTCTGTGATTCTACACACATTTCTTATATTTTTTAGTCCTCTGGGCAGCCATATTTGCTTCAGTTAATAATGTTTAGACTGAATACATAGCAAGTTCTATACCATGGTACAGGTGCTGCCAGAACATGGTGGTGGAGGAGAGTAGCAATACAGTAGGCAGAGAGGGGTGACAACCATTAGCATGTCAACACAAAGACTGGGGTAAGGATCAGAATCCTACTGCCCTACTGCGAGTGCATGCCTGTGTTGAAGTGTGTGTATATACTCCCATTCACCCACCCTAACCTTTCCATTCTTTTTTAGTTATAGAAGGTAAAGGCCTGATGAGCAAGGAGACTGGCACCTGTGATCCCTATGTGAAGGTATCTGATAGAATTAATTAAAGGCAGGTGTGGGGTACTGGGGTGGACTCTCAAGGTCCATGGACATCTGTGGGGTAGGGGCTTTTGGTAGTGACCACCACTTCATTCACTGGGTCTCTGGGCATTTATGAGGCTCCATGCTGGCCTAGACTTTTTTTTTTTTTTATTATTGACTTGTTCCCTAAGGCTTTGGTCAAGAGCTGGAGTCTTAAGGGTGATCCACATAGTGACCATGCTGGTGACTGGAACACAAACTTTCTAGTGGACACAGCATCGTCATCCCCTTCCCTACTAAACTAGAGCCGAACAGTCTGGCTGGGGCAGGAGAGTGGGAGGGGTTTCCCTGAGGACTGGGAGGTCTTTCTGGGTTAGACCCTGGTAGTGAATCCAGAGGACCACAGGGGTAAAGATACAGGAAGCCATGGGTCAGGGACATCCCAGAATGTGACAGCCAAGATGCCAGGTGCAGGCCTGACTCCCTCTTCCCTTTACGTCCAGAAGCCCTTCCTGCCAAGAGCTGGAGAACTGCTTTATAGGAACAGGCTGGATGCCTGAGGCCTGGGAGGAAGAGTACTGTAGAGAAAACATGGCCTTGGGGGCTCTTGGGGTGGGGGCAGGGCAGAATGCCCAAGAGCTCCTGGGGACTTAGAAGGGAGGAGGCTTTGGATTTGGGGAAACCTCCCTGGTCTAGGGAAGAGTAGAGAGGATAAGGTACCTCCTCTCTGGCAGACCTATCAATTGCTGCCATCTTGTTACCGCCACCATGACTCCCTGTCCTGGTGTCCATTCCACTGGCCACAGAAGGCTCCTTGTTTGTGATGGAGATTCTACTCTGTGGTCTTCCCAGACTGGTTTGAAGAGCCCGGGAAAGCTTTTAGTTTGGAGCCTCACAGAGCTAGCTGTTCAGAGCTAGCTGCGGGACTTGGGTGGTTATGTGTCTCTGGAATCACTGAATACTTTTACTTTCTATACTCAAGATTTCTTTGATCCCGGAAGACAGCCAGCTATGCTGCCAGACGACGCAGATCATTCCAGACTGCAGAGACCCAGCTTTCCACGAGCACTTCTTCTTGTAAGAGTCAGGAATGGCTGGGCCCTTGAGAGGAGAGGCAGGGAGGGTTTGTCTGGAAAGATCTCTCTTTGCCAGATCTAGACACAGATCTAAGCAGAAAAACATCGACTTCTGAAGGATGCCTTTGTTTTCTCCTCCCCGGTGTCCTTGCATCCCTGGCCAGGGGCCCAGCAGTGGGGCCTGCAGTAATAATATGTCACTTGGCTGTCTTTCCTAACTACAGTAACTAGCTTAGAGCTGGAAGTGTCCCCCCCACCCCCAGTTTCCCACTGCCTCCGGACAAGTTCTCACCTTCAATAGAAGGAATTTTCCAAGCTGAAGGGCGGTATTACCTGTTCATCTCCCTTTTTATTTAAACTCATTAACCTCCCTGAGCCCCAGCTTCCTCATCCGTAGAATGGAGTTAATAATAGTTCCTTCCTGGGGAGCTAGGGACTCTTAAGTGGGACGTGGGGCAGCACCCATCAGAGGGGGAGCTGCTGCTGTTATTTATACAATTTCTGTCCCTCATCTTTGGATACTCTGGGGCCAATGGGAAGGGCATGGACATTTATTCTTTTCCTGTTAGTGAGAATGAATCATAATATTTTGGTTTTTCTCCTCACTTCACGAGGTAGTTTTGGACAATACGGGTGAAGAGAAAGAAGAGAATAGAGTATCCTCTGCGCTGTCCTACTCACATAGATAGGAGTTGCTGCATTTCTTGTCAGATCTCTCTTTCTGTGGGCATGTACCTCTGTGTGTGTTTACAACACAGGACTGTTTTATAACGGTGTGTCCTGGCTTCCTTTTTGTCCCCAATAATGTAGTATAAACGCTATTATGCGCGTGAGGACTCATCTCCCACACGGTGGCACTATATTTAACAAGATTCTGGCTCAGCTGCTGTAGTCATGGCCAGCTCTGTGAACCTGGCCTAGAGCTGGGTCCTCCTAATGCTCTGGTGGTCTCCTTTGCTTCCTAGTCCTGTCCCAGAGGAGGGTGATCAGAAGCGTCTTCTGGTGACAGTGTGGAACCGGGCCAGTGAGACCAGGTGAGGAGACCTGTGGTGCTAGGCAGAAAATCTCTGGGTTAGGGGTGCCAGCATACATGAGGCACTCACTTCATGTCTTCAGGGTAAGTGAGTTGCAGAGGCTGCTACCCTGAGTCCCTATCATATGGAGATAGTGACGAAAGGGAGGCTAAGACATGGTCAGTGAACATTTGCGAGCTCTTGGCATCAACAAGGCAGGGCTTAAACCCAGGGATGGCAACTAGCATACACCAAGACTCTGCTCTTAAGGCACCCACTGTCCAGGAAGGTATACTAGGCACTATCTGGAGATAAAGTACAGTAACAGCATGCGCATAACCCTGTTCCACAGGATACTGTGCACTGTTACTACTGGGCCTACTTTGCTTTGAGTCACTACTGTCCTTAGTACCCAGCATATGCATGGCTAATGAACACTAACCTCTCAAATAGAACTGGATGACTGGAAAAGAGTAAGTGTGGGAAGGGAGAGCCTCGTGAGAAATACTGACTTCTAAATCTGGGCAGAGAGTAGAGTAAGATAAAGAGAGGCAGAAGGAGCATTCTGGGCCAGGTGTGGCATAAGTAAGCAGGAAGTAATGAGTAAGTCAGGGTGGCCTCCGGCTGCCATGAGGCGGCCTGGTTTAGGTGTGCACTGGTCTGTGTGTGTGTATGTGTGTGTGTGTGTGTGTGTGTAACGCTGATCTTGCAGGCAGTGGGGGACAAAGGAGCCAGTTGTGATTGTAAAGAATGAGAGGCAGATGTAACAGCGTGGAAGGGAGGTGTAGTGGGCAAGCAGCAGGAATGACTGGCTGCTAGGAGAGCAGGTGAGAGCATCTGCCAGCCAAGCCCAGTGGGGCAGGAGCAGCATGGGGCTCATTTCACAGAGGTAATACAAGAATCTAGGAGACCTTGTGGCCAGGAGCACTTGTCCAGTATCTAGGATAGGACTGAATATATTTAAAAGGGTTCCATGTGGACGAACAACAGCTCCGCTCTCCAGCCTAGGCTTGGAAATGTTTTAGGGATTGAATGATTTTTGTATGCACCATGTTGGAGATTGAACCCAGAGCCTTGTACATATCAGGCAAATAAATGTTCTACCATTGAACTACATCCCAACTCCTGAGTTCTTTCTGGAAACATAAGTCCCATTAGTTTTTTTAAGTTTTTTAAGTTTTAAGTTTTTAAGTTTTTTTAGTTTTTTTATTCTCATTTAACCTTGAGAATAAAGAGTTTTTGTTTTGATGGAATCTTCTTTTCATCAGGGAAAAATGCTCATGGTACTACTCATCCATCCATTTGTCTATCCATCCATCCATCCATTCATCATCCATCCGTCCATCCATCTGTCCATCCATCCATCTGTCCATCCATCTGTCCGTCCATCCGTCCGTCCGTCCGTCCGTCCATCCGTCCATCTAGCTGCTACTGCCTGGCAACCAACATTCTAGTACTGAGCACTCACGCAGCTCTCTAGAATGGCAGTGAAAGAGACTTGAGCCATGGATGGAGACGGGGGCATCACATTGATACCAGGCGCTTCACTTGCTGGGTGCTGAGCTGAGTCCAGCCAAGAATGCATTACCTCGTTTGAGTAGTTTACACTAAGTTTCCAGAAGAGGTGACCAAGGCTCAGGAAGATGGGACCTTGCTCAGGGTCACCCAAAAAGTGAACAGTAAAGCTAGGAAGAAAAGCCAGGCAGTTGGATCTAAGTTCTGTCCTTATCATTGTGTTGCCTCCTGGCCCAAAAGGACAGAGCAGAGAGGGTAGGTTTGTGAAATGAGGCAGTGTCTGAGGACTCACTGGTGTTTTGAGAAGGTCAGGTGCAATATAGGCCTTTAACAGCGCTAAAATGGAGTTGGCGTAGGCCCAACCAGGTAGATCCAGAAGTCTTTTAGAGAAAGGTTTTCCTCCGGTGCCAGTGGTCCTGAGTTCTGGCTAGACATCAGAATCTCCCAGGGCACCTGTATGGATCACAGGTCCCCAGACAACCCAGGCATCAGATGGCTAAACCCACATCTGCACGAGCAGGTCCTGGAGGTCTACATTTAAACAAGGCCCCGTGGTGATGAGCTGATGAAGCCAGTTTGTTTTTTGGGATGCTGTTTGGCCACTGGGACATACCTGAAGGATACTGACAAGACAGTGACTGACACCTGCTGTAGGTCTAAGATTCAAGAAAGTCTTTGGTGTAGGACAAGGTGAAAGAGAATTGAGAGGAATGGCATTTGAAAGTAGTACTTAGCTGTGAGAATAGGGGTAGGGGTCAAATATACCAGCAGTCTGCAAAGGGAAGGTAAGATGCTGGTATCCAGAGCATCTAGGTGAGAGTGGTATGGGCTGGTGATGCCCAGATTGAATGGATGAGATAGACTACCCAGGGTGCACTGAGTGGCAGGCTCTGTATTTGAAGGGTCGGTAAACTGCTTCATAAGCCTTAAAGGAGGTCCAGAGGATTGTCAGAGAAGCAGAGGGGCATCTGGCAAGCTCTCGGTGGACGTGAGGGCTGGAGGTGAACCTTCCATGAGAAGCAGGTAGGTAGAGCTGCTGCTGGAGGAGCCAGTGATACAGGTCACATTTTTGCAAAAGAAAGGGAAGCTGGGGAAAGTGAGTCAGCCTCCAGCGAGGCCGCCTGGTCAGGGCGCTGTCTCCACAAGTTGCCTATTTTGGGAAAGTGAGATTCTTGATTAAATAAAACACAGCCAGACTCATGGTCAGAGTCCCAGCTCTAAGCTCAAGAGGGCCAGGGCAGGCTCAGGCAGGCCTGCCTGTGGAGCAGATGGCTCCACCAGGGCTGTCAGCACCACGCTGGCTGTTTTCAGCCTCCTGGTATTCTCAGCAGACTCTTTTTTATCAATGTTCTGAAAGAGAAGGCCTCTGGCCCCAGGGCAGACAGACAGACTGCAACCTCAGGAAAACTAGGGCTCTGCTGAGCACTCCCAAACCAAATTGTGAAAGACAGACATTCTCAATGGGAAAAGCCATTACAGAAGGTGGGAGACAAACATTTACTGAACTGTTTTCCGAGTCAAGCATTTTCTATACATTATCTCATTTAATGCGGGTCTTGAGGGATGAGAATTATGATTTCTTCCCCTCAAACGACATAATGCCTTGAGGTTATATAACAGCTGGTACTTAACAAGCATTTATTCTATGTGAACATTAAGCCCATGGCATGCCTTATCTAATTTAATCCCCACTCAGCTCTTTTATGGCCAAGGAAACAGGCACAGAAATGTTATGTAACTTGTCCAAAGTAGCACAGCTGGGATGTAGGAAGAAAAAAATCATCTGCAAATCCATGCAGTCAGATGTGTGTGTAGTCACATCCCAGTGCTCTGACCTACGTCTTGTCTATGACAAATGACTCCAAAACCATTCTCCTCCCCTGTCAGTGGCTTGCTCCTCCAACCTTGAGATATTTCTTCAATACATGTATTATAGCTTTATATACCACCTAGTCAAATGTGCAGTAGGCTCGTTCTGAGACCTGTAGGCAGCAAGAGGGAGAAGAGCGGTCCTCCCAGTGGTGGCTGCAGATCTGAATTTCAATCCCCAGCACCCATGGAAAAAGCCAAGCATGGCAGCACATAAGCCTATAACCCCTAGTACTGTGGGGGTTATAGACTGATGATCGGGGTACCTGCCCAACTGTAGCTTCGGCGAGAGACCTTGTCCTGAGGGAATACGATGGAGAGTGGGGTCCCTGAAGTTATATACCTGTGCACCACACCACCCATCACAGACACATAGAATCCTGGAAGGGGAGCTGTGGATTTCAGCTTATGTCAGCATCTTGGCAGGAGCTGAGGAGAGCCAGTTAGCCTCTGAAGGAGAACCATGCTTGCTGGCTATGAGACTGTGGACCAACCCTTTCCCCGCTCTGAGCCTCAGTACCCTTATCTGTAAAATTCAGCCATCTCTGGGGCTTTTTATCTCAATTTCAAACTTCTGTGAATATTAAACAATTAGAGATGCTTTTATAAAATGGCTCGATAAACAAAAAACAGAAAACAAAACTATAGACCTTTTCAAAGATAAGCAAAGATAGAAGGCAGGTGTGAACCCCAGAGACGCATAGCCCAAGTTCATCTTTTATCAGTATGTAGGCTTCTTTCTCTCAGCCTCACCTTCCTGTGACATCAGTATTATATACATGACAGCTTCTAAAGACACAGAACCATGAAGACATAACCACACTCAGAACGATAGTAATCTGTCTAGTTCCTCAGTGCCTTGAACAGGGAGCTAAGCTGTTTGGAAGCCCTGTTGGATGGCAAGCAGAAGCTGAACTAAAGCTTCTAATATCGTTTATAGCACTTTCTGAACTTGTAGCCAGAGAACAACTTTGGACAGAGATGTAACTGTTCCTCTGAAAGACAGACATTTGAGTCATCAATGTGAAAGGCCATTATAGAAGGAAATGAATAGATTTAAGAAAAGCACGTATATGTATATATATATATATATATATATATATATATATATATATATGTATATTATGTATATGCTTTATATATAACTATATATGAAGCATACATATATATGAAACATGCATATATATGAAGCATGCATACACACACACACATATATATACATATATATGTATATGTATATATATGTATATTTAACAAATACAATCTTATAACAGTAGCTGCATGTATGGAAGGTCTGTTTTGTCCCGTGTCAGGCAGCACCCTCAGTACTCTGAGGCAGCCTCTCCTTTAACTCTTCTATGAACAGAATCTTTGTCAAGGATAGTGTGGCCTAATATCAGAAAGCTCATGACCAGTGATGGGTCACACACAAAGGACAAAGAGAAAAGTGACTAGAAAAACCTGTACGCAGTTTAAGGCATCAAACTAGAAATAAAGCTTCAATCATAAAACCCTGTGAAACAAAATAGTTTAAGGCTCTTGAATGACCGAATTAATGTGCTTTCTCCCAAAATGTAATAAGTCTTGTCTTGCAGTAAGCTGAGCAATTCTGGCATGCACTCCATAAAGTTATCTCTGAGCCTTGTATTGGCTGTTCCCTCTCTCTGAGATGCGCTTCCTCTTCTTTCTGGCTCTGCTCATGAGGCGTCCTGTAAGCTCCCATGCCCCTACTACCCCTTGTGCCTCCACAGTTTGTTGCCCTCTCTGTTCATCTGTCAATCTCACCCCATCTTGTGCCAGGCCCTGTATTGCTGTCTTGAACTGCTATTTAAATTCCTGCCTATTTGTCATGTTTCCTTAACACTGGGGCTCCATGCCCAGCGCCTGCCAACCATGGGCATGATGGATTCCCCCATTTGTCAAGCCTTTGCTGAGTGCAGAAGCCTGGAGCTAAAGCCTTGGCAATGAGCAGGGACCAAGGCATGGTTCCAGAGCCTCTTCACAGAGGAAAATTGCCATCCTCTCCTGAGCGGGCCCAAGTTGGTAAGCTGGCTGGTTGGTACCTTACCGTATGCTCAGGCTGCTTATATAAGCAGTTCTTCCTCCAAAGGGTTTTCAAAGCAGCCTTTAGAAGTAGCTAATTGAAGAACACTCAGAGAGAGGTCCCTGCTTGTGGACGTTAATTGTGACAGTTTACTCTGCCTGAACGATCATGAAATCACTGGAGGCCCCTTAGCAGGATGCAAAGCTCAAGGGAGGCTATTAACCATTTAGCATTCTCTAAGCACCAGGGAATAAAAATTCCACTTAGAGCAGAGCAGGGAGAGGCAATGTTTATTACGACGAAAGCCCAAGCCTGGAGAAAGGGAAATCTACAGCGGCAGCCAGCATGAGTGCAGAGTGTACTTCACCTCACTACCAGCCAAGGCTCTCCCAAATGTGCTGACGAGAAAAACAAACTTGCTAGGAGCACATTGGTAGAGTCTCTAAAGGCTGTCCTCGAGTGGCAGCTATCTGGATGTCTGCTGCTGTGGTTGTCTAGCCGGCTAGTACCACTCTGGCCCCTTTCCAAGAGGGAAGAGTGTCACGGCAGGGTAAGAAGGTGAAGGGGTATTTAATTAGGGTGACTGCATTACCCTCCTTGAGCGAGTCATTAATGAGGCCTTGTATGACGGGAACAGGGAGGAGAAGGTAGCCATGAACGACTGTTAGAGAAGCAGCTAATGATGTCATAGAGAGAGATAGCCACAGCTGTGGTTCAGAACATAGACTGGCAGTCAGGTGGCCAGTGCTGGGGACCAGTCCGAAGTGTTCTGTGTGTCCCCCTTGCCCCGCCCTGTCCTGCCCCTCACTTGGCTTGAGTGCCTGGGAAAAGCTAGTTTTGTTGTGCTTACAACTATCAGGTGGCAAGCTGCCACCCTTTCCGGAGAATCCAAACAATATGTATTTATAGAGGCTTCTCGACCTCGACTTGACCATGGGTGGGTACGTGTAGAATCCCTGGAGAGCATTCTCTGGGCTCCCGTGCCCAGATGCTACCTTGAACTAACTGGGTTTGGATCTAGGCATGACCTCTACAGCTCAAAATCTCAAGGCAGGCTTTGCAGGCAGCCCTTTGATGCTGCAGAGGTTGCCTCCTGGGCCTGACCTCTGAAGACAGCTTCCTGGGAGGTGCATCTGCAGGGAGTTTTACTAACTCCCTCTGACAACTGGGAGCAGGCCAGATCCTTTCCCTGGGTCCTTCAGATAGTGAGAGTTAGACTGTCAGCGTTATGCTCCAGTCTAAATACGTATGGTGTTTCTAGATAGTAATTAAACCAGTCTACAAAGGAATCTGAGTTGGGAGCTGTAGACAGAAAGGAAGGGAAGAAAACCAAAGCAGACTCAAAACTCACAAAAGGCTCAAACACCAAGGTCAAGTAGAATGTGGAACAACAGAGGTCCTTAAAAATATGTTTATGTAGCACCCACCCCCATTGCAAAAGCAGTGACTGTTCCCCTATGAAGATTTGGAAACAAAAATTGCTATTGCTAACAATCCCACCTACCAGACACAGCTGTCGTTTGTCTTTTGGGGCTCTGTTTCCCATGAAATTGCAGTTTTGCACACACCCTTTTCTCTGACAAGAGCAAGTTTTGGCATTTCATTAGCATTAATCAATGCCATCACTGTTAAAAAGCTGTCAATCAGTTTGTGATGGCTGGACATTCTCTAGACACTTTGAATTCCTGCTACCCAAGAGGTCCAGCTCGAACTTTACCCCTCACCCAAGTTTGGCAATGCATGAGGCCTGACCTTGGTTCATGCCTGCCTGCCCTGTCAACAGCCGGGTCATTGTGACTTTTGTATGTTGGGTATGTTTGGAACTCTGTCTCCAGCCATCTGAGAACTGCTAAGGTCCTGCTTGGCTATGAGGCAAGGCTATGAGAGTGGAGGTCCCATAACGTCCCTCTTACTGCATGTCCCCAGCTGAGGTGGTGGCTCAGACTCTCCAATGGGGACAACCCTCTCAACCAGCCAGCACTAGAATGGCTAACACCTTCAAGGTAGCCTGAGCTCTTGTGGCATCAGAGAGAGCAGCATCTGCCCAGACCTAGGATGCTCAGGTTTCCTCAGACCTGACTAACAAATACTATTCTGTGACCTTGGGAAGGGGACCTACCAAGCTTGGCGCTTTTCTCTAGAGACTGGGTAGAACACTTCTCAAAGTGGGAAGAACGAAGGAACAGGAGCAGGCAGAAGTGCTCTTGGGAAGCCACATGTAGACTATGGAACATTTGACTTCCTTGAACAGACAGCGGGAGACTCACTCTCTGCTCTCCTCCTAGGCAGCATGTGCTCATTGGCTGTATGAGCTTCGGGGTGAGGTCTCTCTTGACTCCGGACAAGGTGAGTTGGCAGGAAGCTTCTGGAGCAAAAGCTCACCTAGGCCCTGGCTGGGACAGTCATGTTGACCCTAGAAATGCCTGCGTCGAGCTGCTCTCTATGACGTTGTGTCCCACTGAGGCAGATGTTGGTAGTCTAAATTATAGGCTGCTGTTGTCTCAGGCCTGGCTGAGGTTTTGGGTTCCCTTCTAGAGGGGAGTTTGGCATCCCCGAGGCTCCCTAGGAAGTGCTGAGTCTGATGGATGCCAGGGTGCCATGATGCCATGAAGAGTCCTCTTGATCTGTCTTCTGGGCTCAGGAAGTGCTTGGATGGGGGTAGAAAGCATTGAGACTGATGACAGTCCTCTCAGGCTGGCCGAGGACACGGGCTCAGGAAGTCCCCTCCTTTGGATCACTGTCACTTAGCTGGCCTTACTTGGCCCTGCAGCCCCAAACTAGAAGCTCTGAGTAGGGAGGGGTACATTGCTTTTGCACATCTTGAAAATGTCTTTGTGGCCCATTTTGAGATCCTGCCACTCAGCTTTGTGTCCTGGAATGAAGTCAGGAGATGGGCTGTTGTGGAGGTTCTCTTGATCTCCTGGCCATGGCTGTGGCTTCAGTCTCCTCAGAAAGGTGCTGCCCATGGAGACTGCACAGGAGTCTTGAGTATCTGCTCTTGTGGCCTCTTTGCTGTTCTTCACTCTTTCCTCTTTGTTCTGTAAACAAATATTTAATGAGTACCTACTATTTACCAGGCTCAATACTAGGTAGGTCAAAGAGTCTGGCTGGAGACAGGTGGCAGGAGGCAGGAGGAGGCAGGAGGAGGCAGGAGGAGGCAGGAGGAGGCAGGAGGAGGCAGGAGGAGGCAGGAGGAGACAAGTGGCAGGAGGAGGTAGGAGGCAGTGTCGAGACAGGCAAGTCTATCATTGTCCAGGGCTGAGAGGCTAAGGGAGGATCACTTCTGTCCAGAGAATCAGGGAAGGCTTTCTGAAGGTGCAAGTGGCAACCTTGGGGCAGGGAAGCTGAATCATCTGCTTAGGAGGAATGATGGCCAGCTGCAGGTTTTTTGTTTGTTTGTTTGTTTATTTGTTTTTGAAGGGTTAGTGGTAGCTTGACCTGTGCTCCCTGCCTCTTTGAACTGATCATATCCTTCTCTTACAACAGGAGATCAGTGGCTGGTACTATCTGCTAGGGGAGGACTTGGGGAGGACCAAGCACCTCAAGGTGGCTAGGCGGCGGCTGCAGCCCCTGAGAGGTGTGTACAAGCCCCTTGAAGCCCCCTGACCCTGACTGAGTGAGGCATTAGCCTCCGCCTCCCTGGCATTTCTTGCCAGTGCCTATAAGTTCACAGGCTACTCCTGACCAGGATATCACTACCGTATGATAGACTTTGAGAGTTTGTGCCATCTGGCTTCACACAGATCAGTCCCCTGCCCTACTCACAGAAGCTTCAGGACTTCCCAAGAGTCTCTTTCCCAGGTTCTATGTCTCAGAAGCCATGCTCTCTTCATCCCCTGTGACACCTTGCTGACCCTGGAAACTCCACCACTATAGGCATGCTTCTAGGGCCTGCTGTGAGCCTGAGACTCATGGCTTGGATTTCATTTCCCCACGGTCCTGTTCTTTCCCTCACAGCCCTGGCTCCTGAGCCTCTGCTTGCTCTGAGCCTTGGCATCCCTGTATCCTGGAAGCCAGGAACTGTCCTGACAGTCTCACCCATGGCCAGTTTGTGCATGGGCCCTCATGCCAGCAAGAGCTTGCTAACTCAGCTCTATCTCCTTCCAGATGTGCTGTTGAGAATGCCGGGAGAGGGGGACCCTGAGAATGGGGAGACACTCCAGGTAGGTGGGGACACTCCTGGCTGGGGCTGGTGGAGCCTGAGCATGACTCTAGGGTCTCTGGTCCATTCCTTCTTTGTCAGCCTCTTGGGTCAGGAAGTATCTGTGAAAGAGGGCAGCTTGGGATTTGGAACACAGCAAGCCAAGCCTTGTGAAGGAGGGTTCTTAACTTTCCTGAGGTGTGTCTTGGTCATTCATGATCTTTGCAGGGCTGAGAGAGAGAGAGAGCCAGGAAATGTAGGTGTCTGGATCTTTCTGATAGAAATAGAATCCTCCCTTCCCTCAGGTCCCCAGAACCTCTGTGCCTCTTAGCATCATGGCCAAGTCATCTTCGCAGGTTAAGCCTGCAGGGGCTGGGAAGCAGCCATAATTCTGAACCTAAAAGTGATGGATTTCTGGCTTCCTCCCAGCTGTGAATCTAGAGAGGAGCATCATATAGGAATTTGGGTGAATTGTCCAGAGTTCATTTGATCTCTTTGGAGAGCCTGTTACAGTGACTTTAATAGGAGAAGGAAAATCAAACTCTTGACGATCAATCAGCCCCTGGAGTGATATTGTGATTTAACTCTCACCACCTCCTGTGAGGTGGCTGTCACCATCCCACCTTACAGATAAGGGGACATGTAGATCCCAGGGTGTTATGTTGTTGTGGCCACTCAGCCAGCAAGAGATTGACAGAGCCTCTTTATCTCTTCTGTGTACTGTGCCACACTGTCTCTAGAATGTGTCCTCACTGAAAAGATGTTGGGATGTTGGTGTTGACATGGTCCTTGACCTCTTGTATTGAAATTAGTCCCTTAGGTGCCATTTGTGCACCCAGTCATCCAATCCCCTGTACACTATGTGGTGGTTACACCTGTGCAGACCTCAACCTGGTGCTGGGTTCTGGGACAGAGCCTTGGCCCACTCTCTTGTGGAACTTAGTGTTCAGAATATTACTACCCATCACAGTAGCTGCTTGCTGCCTGTAACTTCTGAGTTCCTGGCTGGAGCAAGCAGGACTGAGGAACATAGCCATAGCTTCTGTTTCATATTAGGTAATGCCAGTGTGTCCTGTACAAACATCCAGCCCCCATTATAGTGCTAACGTAATCTGCCAGATGCGTTTTCTATGGTTTCACTAGGAGTTTAGAAGCTTCCTCTAGCTTCAGGGATAGCTCCAAAGATCTCCCCACTTTCTGGGGAGGGAGTGACCATGGAGCCACCCTAGGCATATGTGAGAATGACTTGGATATCTGCATTGCAGGTCTCCAGGTGGCCCATGAAAGACCTGCTTTAAGCTAGATTCAGTCTTCTGTCCCATGTCCCTAAGGACACTGTTCTGAGTTGAATTGGAAGGGGGGAGGGTTGTGCACCTGAGCATGTCTACAATGCTCAGCAGAGGCAGTGACTAGTAGAGGTGTGGGGAAATAAGATGTCACTTATTCAAATCCTCCATTTGAAAGACCTAGAGGTCACCTGCCCATGGTCACTCAGCAATCAAACCAAGGGACAGCCTCTGTTCTAACTACATGAGTGAGCAGGTGAGCTTTTCCAGGGGGATCCTAGGAGGGCAGAGGGGGCCAGGTTCATGCTGTGCTACTCATAAGATCTGCTCCAAGGACTGTGCGGTACGGACGGCAGGGCCTGGGTTCTAACCTGGCATTTGACTGTAATATCTCTAGGCCTCCACTTCTTTGTTGTTACAGTGTGGAGGCAGGTGGCCCCGTGGCTAGGAACCCATTTGCACATTTGACCATATGGTCTGGGCACCATCAGTTCCTTCACATAGCCCATTTTTGTGAATTCAGAAGCTGACTATTAAGTAACTCCTGAGTGCCCACCAGCCTCCAGATGTTTTGTATTCCCTGATTTAAGATGGGTTGTTTATGGGTATAGTGTTTACAGCAGCCCAGATTATCCTCATTGGGTTAGTCCACTGGATTTGCTCCTGGGGACCGCGGGACTTGTAAGGAGGCGTGCTCTTACAGAACAGGGTGTGTTTTCTGCTTGAGTTTCCCTTCAGCAGTCAGTAAGGGCTGTTTGTGAGAACACTGCTCTCACAGAGAGTCTGTCCCAAGGCAGAGAATGCAGCCAGAACAAAGGCGCCCTCTCCCCGCCAGGCCCGAGGAATACTAACTAGTTGACAGGAATTTTAATATAAAACTCTCCCTCTTCCTTGTCATTCTGAGGTTTCAGGAAGCCTTCGGGCTTATCTGCAGAGGCACACAGCACAGACAGGGCCTGGGAGGTGAGAGGTGATTTCCTGCCATTCTTCTGAGGGGCGGGCTTCCCAGGGCGGTCATGCCAGGCTGACGGGGCGCAGTGTGGGCTCCCGCTACTGGGGGGAGAGCTGGGTTTTCATGGGGAGGCAGCCGAGGCAGGATCCGCAGCCATGAACCGCTTCAATGGGCTCTGCAAAGTGTGTTCAGAACGCCGCTACCGCCAGGTGGGTGCTTGATCCCCTGGGTTACTGTGTGATAGTGGAAGTCAGGGATGGGGCTCATCCATGTAGAATCTCTCTCCACCAGGCCTTCTACGCCTCCCCCCGTTCCCTGCAGGCACATTTTGATGTGAGGGAAAGTTGGAGACAGGGTTGGACCCATGACCCAGCCTGCTACCTACTGCCCCAGGTTACAGGCAGCTGAGGCCAGTTCTGAATGCTGTCCTACCCACTGACTGGCATCCTTGACAAGATGATTTAGCTGTTGTTGTTTGTTTGTTTTTGGTTTTGCTTTTATCATTTAGGAGGAGGTAATTGTGAAAAAAAAAAAAGCCATGTGAGCTCTGAGATGGCTGGTGGTGGGTTTGGGCTGGGGAGCTAAGTGACTCCTGAAAACTGAGGTACTGCTGACTTTGCTGTCCCTGGTGGGCAGCTGTACCCATCATGTCCCTTGTGTGTAGTGGTGTGTGCTTCTGTGTGAGATGTGATGGATGTGTATCTTTTCCTCCCGGCTGCCACAGTGCCTTGAAGTGACTCCGATTTGCCAAAGCTTTGGAGGGCCTACTTCACTGCGTTGTCTCTTAGCTCCTGGGCTGGGAGACGGGGGGCGTAAGGAATGGCGCTCATGTTCACCCCAAAGACTCTTCTAGAATTAGGCTTTTCTTCTTATAAAATAGGAATGGGGCCCAGGGGTTGGGATAAAGGTAAAATATATCCAGATTTGTGTAGTGTCCAAGCTGGAGGGACCACACAAATTACCCTGACTGTGAAAATACAGAGAAGGCCCTCATTAGAATCTGGGGCCTAACCCATTAGTACGTAGGTCACAGGGAGAGGCCCCCGGGGCCCCTGGCACCTGCCTCTATCACTCGGGATCCAGATGTTCCTTCTAACATTTTCCTGCAGTGCAGGCCTTAACCTATGTTCCCTACTTTCCTGAAGTTAGATAGAGCAGTCCCTGTGGCAAGAACATTTAGGTGTTCGTAAACATAAGGCAAGGTGAGCACTGGGTAGAAGGTAATGGAATCCCAGGTGTCCTTGGGCCACAGGGCCAGAGCATGGGGATGTGCTGGTAGCCAGAGTGGGACCTGGAGCACACATGGACTGGCCTCAGGGTAAGATAGTTCCTGCATTGAGGCTGGGGCAGAATCGAGCACACTAAACTTTCTGTGGGATCAGAGCTCTAGTCCACTGTGGTCCCCTTTGACTGACTCTCTTGAGCAATTTACAGTCCCGTGTCCCTAAAACAGGAGTACTGAAGTAGAGACAAGCCTGTGGCAGTAAAAGGTGATCCTATAAAGTACTTGGCTTGTGTCTGCTGCTCACCCCCAGGGAGTAGACAATATATACTGGCAGTTAGGGACAGGAGCCCGTGTGTGACAGAACATCAGATACTCTGCAGGTGCTGGCATGGCTGAGACACAGGAGTGGTGGAAGTGCTTGCCCTTGACAGGCAAGAGAAAGAAACACCCTGGGAAGGATACCTGTCAGGAAATGCCAAGGTCCCAGAGTCAGGAGAAGGACTGTCACCCTTCTTGAGCCCAAGGTCAGAGAGCAGTGCTGGGGAAACATGCCATCACTTTGGGCCTTGATTACCTTCTCTGTAAAATGGGCTTACTGAAGCTGTATTCTTTGGGGTCTAGGACAGACTCTTGTCTTGGTGGACAAACTCTTTGGACACTACTCTGTGTGCTCAGAGGCCTCCATTGCAGCCTGCTCCTCCCGCAGAGCTGGGCAATGCTCTTGTTCCTTCCTAACTTGTTTCCCACCACTCCTTTGCTAGCCAATGGGGTGGGATTGTTCTCCCAGGTGGCACTAAGGGAAGAGGCTCCTGGCCCTGCCTGAACCAGAGCACCAGAGTGTGGAAACACATTTATCTTCAGACCAGAGAGCTGGGGGCTTACCCTCCAGACAGGAGGCTCGTCTTCAGCACCCTGTGTCGTAGGATTGGGGCAGGGCTAGGAGGGTTTCTGTGTGGTGTGGAGGGTGGTTCCAAGTCCCCTGTTAGTCCCACAGACTGGCTCCTGGTGTCTCCTCTGGACCTCTGCTGGCCTGGCAATGAGAGGTCCCTCCAGTTTTCCACGTTCACTCCCGGCTTTGTTTTGCTTTCTTTCCACTTTTTTTTTCCTTCTCTTCCTGTCTTAGCTATGTGTTTTCCCAGAATTCTTATGGGAATAGGGTATTTTCCTGCCTCCCTCCCCCTTCCCTCTGTCTGTCAGATTTCCTGTTTTACAAACTTGCTTTGAATCCAGGCCCAGGACTGGTGGGGAGCTAAGCTTTGGGGACCTTTGGTCACCCTGGACGCCTGCCTGCTCTCCTTCCTTGTGCCTGGCCTTGGGTTACCAGCAACCAGCAGGTGAATGAAGGTGGCCAGCCCTGAGAGACAGCCAGCTCTGTACATGGCTGTGCCCTGCCTGACCTGTTCTAGGCTTGCTGAGATGTTTTCCTCCTCTCCCTGTCCCTGTCCACGACACCTTTTCTTTGTGCCTCGTTGGGACCCGCCCTGATCTTTTCCTCCCCCAGGGGTATCTCGGGACTCCCTCTTGAAGCCATTTTTCTGACCTAAGTAATCTGAGTGAGCCAGTGGGCCATGCTGCACACAGAATCACTCTTTTTGGTTTTGGAAGATTTTATCTTAAAAGTTGGTGTTTTTTTTTTTAAACTATGCTTATATGTGTGACATGTGCAAGGGTACATGAAGGTCAGAGGTCAGAGGTGTTGCCCCTGGAGCTGGAGTTACAGGGGACTGTGAGCTGACTCGGAGGGTGGGACTAGACCTCAAGAGCTAGTATTAGCAAGAGTAGTGGCTGTGCGCCTAACTGCTGAGCCAGTGGTTCTTGACCTGTGGGTTTTGACCTCTAACCCTTTCTCAAAGGTCAGATCTCAGATACCCTGCATATCAGATATTTACATTACAATTCCTGACAGTAAAAAATTATAGTTATGAAGTAGCAACGAAAATAATTTTATGGTTCGGGTCACAACCTGGGGAACCGTATGACAGGGTAATAGCATTAGGCAGGTTGAGAACTACTGCACTAAATTGTTTTCAAAGACAGGCGTGCTGTCTGGGGTACTCAGGTCTAATTTCTGTACAGTCCTATTTTCCTTTGTTGTTTGGAGAACTGTGTGTGGAGGCTTGTCCTAGCTAGGAGCCAGAGACCAAGTGCCACCCTTTAGGGGCCCCATCCCATGTACCTCAGCAAGGCATGACACACAGAAAGAATTGGGCTGTAGAATGTTTGATCTGCAAAGAGCATCTAGATGGCGTGGTCCTTTGACTGAACCTCTGAAAACTGGGCCTGTGGCTCCGTACGCATACCCCTTTGCAGGCAGAATGAAGCCCATGGCTAGTACAGGTTTATCCAGGAGGCCTCGACTCTGCCTGTGCCTACCTCTTCTCTTGGAAACTCTTTCTGGCTGCTCAGAGGTTCTGATCCAGCCCGCCAGTGCCCTGTGAGCCCCATCGCTCTTCATCTGACACTTGGCCATAAGGCTAAGACAGTACGTGCTAGATCTTCCTGCCTGGTCCTTGGGGAGGGTGGCCACCCACTTGGCTTTATTTCTAAATAAAATAAAGTGTGTGTCCTTAGCCCAAGGCAAACCATGGGCTAAGATTCCAAGATCTCCATGGGAAAGGAAGCTGGCCTGCAGTAGGGAGAGGAAGTAGAACTCCAGACGGCTCTTGGGTAAAGGACCGAGGCTGTTAGGATCAAGAGGAGAAAGGTTTTCCCTTTTCCTGGATCCCATCCATTCTGCCCTCAGCTTGGCTTTGCATAAGTCAGGGTTAAGATGGTGGCTCACAGGTAGGTAGAGGAGGCTGGCTGACTCCTTCTCAGTTCTGGCTCCCTGTGGAGAGGAAGGTGGCTCTGGGTGGAGCTTAGAGGCTTCCCAGCTTCGAAACTCTGGAGTAACTGGACAGGGCTGTGTCCTAGATCACCATCCGGAGGGGCAAAGAAGGCTTTGGCTTCACGATCTGCTGTGACTCCCCGGTCCGAGTCCAGGCTGTGGATTCTGGTAAGTGAATGGCACAGGATAACAACCCTACCTTCCCACCAGGCAGCTGGACAGTTTGGAGCTGGACAGGGCCTCACACTGGATCAGAGTCTGGGTTTTCAAAGGAAAAAGAATAATATTTTTAAAATGACCTACAGATGAATCTGAGGTTTATGAAAACAGAGGGGGGGTGTTGTTTTATAAAAATGAAAATAGACTGTATTTTGATTCTGATCATTTCTGAAGAGGAGCTCAATTTGAATTCTGATGACTGTAGGGGAGACTTATGAGCTTGCATCTGTACACAATTCCAGTTAACACTTAGAAGTGGACATTATGAGCTGACAGTGTGGCTCGTACCTGTAACCCTTGAACTTAGGAGGTAGAGGCATGAGGATTGCTGGATATTCAAAGCTAGCCTGGCCTCCACTGTGAGACTCTGTCACACACACACACACACACACACACCTTCAAGCGAAACAAACGAAAAGTAAGAACATAATAAGCAGAGGCTGGGAAGGACTCAGCAAAGCACTCACACTGTAAGATAAGCAGAGGCTGGGAAGGACTCAGCAAAGCACTCACACTGTAAGATAAGCAGAGGCTGGGAAGGACTCAGCAAAGCACTCACTCTGTAAGATAAGCAGAGGCTGGGAAGGACTCAGCAAAGCACTCACACTGTAAGATAAGCAGAGGCTGGGAAGGACTCAGTAAAGCACTCACACTGTAAGAGGGGAATTCAGTCTCCAGAAACCGTGCAAAAAAGAAAAAAAGAAAGCCAGGCATTGTGGCTTATGCTTTAACTATATACTCCTAGGGGGTGGGGGGCGGAGAAAGGAGAGTAGCTGAGACTTATTCATTAGCCAGAGTAGCCTACTTAATGAGAGTCCCAGGCCAGTGAGAGAGACAGAGAGAGAGAGAGAGAGAGAGAGAGAGAGAGAGAGAACCTGAGGAAACACTGTTGTATATATGGCTTCTATATGCTTGTGCACATGTATATGCATCTCCACCTCCCTCTTCCCAACCCTCACCCACAGCACACACGCACACCCAGACACACACACACACACACACCCCTCCACTGCCAACAAAGAGGGACACTAGTGCGGGTAGGGTACGAACAGGGTGAGAAGCTAAGACGAAGGCCACCCAGTTCAGCACCTCTGTATGGAACAATAGAAGGGAAAAGGACGACTCTTCAGTGTCACCAGGGAAGCAGAGGATTCCAGGTTCTTTGAGGAAGTCTTAGGCTTCAGTGGTCCCTGAGTGGCTCTTCTCTGTCCTTTCAGGGGGCCCAGCAGAGAGGGCAGGGCTGCAGCAGCTGGACACGGTGCTACAACTGAATGAGAGGCCCGTGGAGCACTGGAAATGTGTGGAGCTGGCACACGAGATCCGGTGACAGGGGGCAGTGGGCGGCGGAAACCTCAGCTGATGGCATATCTTCCCCACCCAGCCCTGGGCACACTGCCTTACTCTCCTCCGCTCGCTTACTTGCTCGCTCGGCTTGGTCCGCTCTCTGCCCAGCTGTGAGCAGTTTACATCACTCCTCAGGGAATCTGTTTCTTGGCCTGGAAATGGAAGGTTCAGGCTCAGATGAATTTTGATTCCACAGCAAACAGCAGGAAAGATGCTCTGAACAGACCCTGTGGTCCCTACCGTGGTTCCAGGGGGGCCATTCCACTTTAGCTAATTGTCCCTGCTACTGAATGGCTAAACCCTTTGTTTAAGGGACTGTAGACTGTGTAGATGTTTGAATTGTACAAGTTAAAGTGTATTCTGTAAAATATCTGAGCTCCTTGACTCTGTGGGCTAGCACCTCAATGGTCCATTTTGGACCCGTTTCTAGAATGACTACATGGAAATCGCATTTCGCTTGTTCCTGCTTGGCTTCATCCGCTTGCTCCCTGCCCTGCACGCTTTCACCCTGACTGATTCTGATCTCCCCAAGTCTGAACTCCTCTGTGGAATTTCTAGGAGCTGTCCTAGCGAGATCATCCTGCTCGTGTGGCGTGTGGTCCCCCAGATCAAGCCAGGGCCAGATGGCGGAGTCTTGCGGCGTGCCTCCTGCAAGTCCACACATGACCTCCTATCACCCCCTAACAAGAGAGAGAAGAACTGTACTCATGGGGCCCCCACACGTCCTGAGCAGCGCCACAGCTGCCACCTGGTGTGCGACAGCTCTGATGGTCTACTGCTTGGTGGCTGGGAGCGCTACACTGAGGTGGGCAAGCGCAGTGGCCAGCATACCCTGCCTGCACTGTCCCGGGCCACCACCCCTACCGACCCCAACTACATCATCCTGGCCCCACTGAATCCTGGAAGCCAGGTATGGACAGCTGAATGTGGAAGGGTATTGGGTCCCTGTGGTAGGTTTAGATGTCTCCAAAATGGAAAATTGGATTGTGAGACCTCTGTGGTATGGCTGTTAGGGTCCTATCAATTCTCGTGATCCATGGAGCGCATTTTGGAACAAGCTGCCATGAAGGAAGTTGAGGTCTCCCAGAGGGAGAGAGAGCTTCGTGGAGCATGACAAGCTCTGTTCCACTCTTCCCATTAAGAGAATGGCTGTGCTTCCCCTGTACCCTGAAACATTACACTTCTCGTCCTCAGACCTGTATGCAACCCCTGCTGGGCTGCTTCCATTCTTGGGTCTGAGCTAGGTTTCTTGTCTTTCCTTTGCAGTTGCTGCGGCCCGTGTACCAGGAGGATGCCATCCCTGAAGGTGAGCTGTCCTCGATGCTAAGCCCTCTCAGCCTGGAGAGATAGTTGAGGTCAGCTGAGGTCAGGCCCAACTTCCCAGTCTGAATTCAGAGGCCTTTCTGATGGAGTTGGGGCTACCCAGCATCTTGAAACAGACCCCCACCCCCTTATCCTCCTGGTACTCTCTTCCCCTCACCAAATGAGTGTGTATTTCCTTAAAGTCAGAATTAAGTTGGTAGAGGGGGGCATCTGTGAGAGCCATCCAAGAGACAGGTGCTTGGCATTGGTCTTGGCTGTTATCCAGTGTTGCTGAGCAACCGTATCTGTTAGAGGCTGTAGACACCATTCTTGAAGCTGCATGAAGAGTAGTCCTGGAATGCTGGGCTTCGAGGTCTCAGGTTGGAATCTTCACAGTGGGACTTGAGCAAATCGCTGTCACCTCCCTTCACCTATAAAATAGGATGAGTTGTTCCTGCTCGGGGGTTGGTCTGAAGTATTCAAGGGGAACATTGTTGTATGCAGTTGCCTGCCTGCTGAAAGGTGGTGCAGGAGAGCTGTCTCTCAGCTTTGCAGATGTCTCTGCTGATTAACCCATTCTTTTCCTTTGGCCTGCATATTTTGGCCAGAAGTGGGAGCTGGCAGAAAGCAATCACTTCTCCAGGAACCCTGGGATATGAGACTCTGTGCACGAGTTGGTGGGGCAGGCCCTTAGGCCCTCACGCACCTGCCACAGAGCTCTGACCCCAAAGTCCAGCTGGTCTAGAAGGCTGAGGCCAGCCTTGTCATGTGGTCTGAGAGGCCTATCTGGAGTGTGATTGAACCTTTCTGTGCCCATAGAACACCCTTGACCTCCTTCCTTGAGGGTGGCCTTTCCCATCTCGTCTCAGATTTGTTTCTGTGCTGTTTCCCTCCATTAGTGATAAGATGATGATCTCTTAAAGTGGACACTTGGGCCTTTGGGAAGAGGGGGCTGCCATCAGTCTCAGAATTCCTGATGAAAGGCACCTCCTTCCTCTCCCTGCTGGGGCCTGTGGGCACTTGGGCCTAGCCTGCCGGAAACAAAGCTGTGTTCCTCCCAGGGAGGAGTCTGATAGTGATTCAACAGTAAGTGTCTAAAAGCTTTTAGTGGGCACATTAGGGCAGAGTAAATATGTCACTGCTAAATGGTGATTTTATTAGGGGCGGGGCTGGGCTCACTGTATTTCTGTAGGTCCAACCTCAGACCCAGGGCCTGTCAGGCAACAGAAACTTGGTGGAACTTTGGCAGAGCGGCTGAGGAGTAGGACTCTGGTTGTTGGTAATAGTCCTGAAGCCAAGTCCCAGGGACCTGGGAAGATGTATCACCTATGTGGTCATATGCACTCTGGCTGGGAGCTCTTCCATCCTTTCCCAGAAAGCCAGGGTTGCCTGTATGGTTGGTCCCAAACTGTGTCTGTGTTTTTACTCCTCTCTGAAAATTACAGTGCCAAAAAGGGCACGGTCACCGAAGCCTCAGGGGAAAGAACAAGTTAGGAAGAGATGATGGTGTTAATAACAGTGGAAGTGTTTTGAATTCCTTCTGTCCAGATCTTAAGTGGTGTGTGTGCACACACATGCACATATTTGTATGTATGTGGGTGTGTGTGCGTACATGAGGCAAAAGGTCAAACCCAGGAGCCATCCACCTTATTTTATTGAGTCTCACTGGGGCCTGAGACTTGTTGATTAAGCTAGACTGGCCAGCCAGTGAGCCCTAGGGATCCACCGGTCTCAGGCCCCCTCAGTGCTGGGATTACAAGCACATGCCGCCATGCCTGGCTTTTTACCGGGGTGTTGGGGAGTAGATGCAGGGCCACATGGTTAGTGCAGCAAGCACTTTGCCAACTGAGCCACCTCCCCAGCCCCTGCATCAAGATCTCAACTTCACTTATACTTCAGCATAGTGATCCTTTTGGTATCAAAGGATATCTCCTCCCGTTCCCACGTATTAATTCTTTGCAGCCCCAAGTCATGAGTTCAGAGGAAGGAGTGAAAAATTCCTGGCACATGGTTTTCCTCACACACCCAGGGTTATCCAGAGGTTAGGGCTGTCACCAGGGTGCTGGCCTCTGATTCCTCTAGCCCACAAGGAGGTGGCCTTTCAGGCTGGAGAGCTCAGCCATTCTGCTTTGGATATCGGGAACAGGAATAGCTTAACTGTCTTGCATTGAACAGGGTCTGCCTAGAGTGCCTGTCTGGCTGGAGTTGGCATGTGCTTCAGGGCCGCTGTCCTTTGAAAGGTTCCACCGCCAAAGCCAGAGAGGGTTGCCAGGGCTCGCCTCAGAAGAGCAAAGCTGTGTGATTACTATGTTTGGTCTGTGAAGCAGGTGCTAGAGGAAATGAAGATGATTCTGGTTTAGGCCAGACATCATCACAAGAGGTGACAGGTGGAAGTTTGCCTTCATGGGGCTCAGCAGCCGGCCTGCAATCTGGATTGTTCTAAAAAAAAAAAAATCAGTTCCAGAGAGCCACACCCCTTGCACCACATCACCAGAGTGGTGTGGCAGTGTACCTTTAGGGAGTGGCTGCCACCTAGATTGGGCTGGTCCTGCTTGGTGTTTACTAGCTGAATGACCTTGGCCAATTCTTACAAGCACTCTATACCTCTGTTTGCTTATCTGGAAAATGGGGCTAAGCAGTCCCCTCCTCTCTGGAAGCAGAGGGATGGGTCAGGTGGCTGCTTCATGACTCTTGATTTCTAGGGTGAAGATTCTTTGAGGGTGCTGGGCAGCTGGGCCTAGGGAAGAAATCTTTTGTAAGTCTGAGACTTAGAGCCGACACCTAGAGTCTTTCCCGCGTCTTTCCCTCATTTAGGTCTGGTTGGCCTCAGACCCTACTTGTCAGTCCTGCATAACTTTACCTTCCCTGATCCAGGCTGTGCTGTGTCAATCTAGCCTGTCTACTTCCAGACTGTTCTGTGACCTAACTTACAGCATGCTTCCAGGCCCGGTGCCCTCTGCCATGCTACCGCCGATGGCTGGCTTCCTGCTTGAGATAATCCATCCTGCCATCACATACCAGCCTGGCCCTCCCATCCCTACTTCTCACGGGGCCTTTTTGTTAGTTTCCAGCCGAGTCACCTGGACAGGTGAGATAGGAGGGTGGATAGTGTCTGCTTCAAAGCAGACGGGGAAGGAGCCCGCTCTGTGCATGGTTGTGCAGCACCCGGGCTGCACAGTCAGCTTTTGAGTGAGGAAGACGTGGCTCACATTCAAGGTGTCTTATCCGACTCAAGTCTAGTGTAGATCTTGAGACACAGGTTGGATTTTTTTCCAGTGGAAGGCCAGGCTGCTGCACAGACAATCCATCAACCAACCCCCAGGGCCAGGTCAGAGAGAAAGCTGTGGGACTCTTTTCCTGCATCTGTGCCTCCTGTCGCCATCTGGGTCCCTGTTCTTTGTAACATCTCAGCCACCCTTGAAGAGTCAGGAAGTGGTTTGAATGCTGCCGCCAGAATGTGATCTCGCTGGTCACTTGTGGGGGTGGGAAGAGTTGACTTGTTTTTCTCACCTCTCAGTGAGAAGGGGAATGGGGGGTGGGGGTGGGAAGCAACTATGAAACCCTCTGGGCTGTTTCCTCTTCGCAGTGGCCTTTGCGTTGGTGGGGAGCTTCCCTGAGATGAAGTTGGTTCAGGTCACCTGTTCACTGCCTACAGAAAGTTAGAGGATGCCTGCTATTCTAGACAAGTGGATGGTGGTGGCCAGGTAGCTCCTGCTACCTTGGCTAGTGGAAGGTGTGGACCTTGATGTATACAAAGCCTGTTGTCTCCATTATTATAGGGAACAGACCTTTGTGCCTGGCTGGTGATGAGCAGGCGATCCAGGGTGGGATGGTAACAGGATGAGCGTGTGCCCTGTCACTTGCAAAGCCACCTCTGCTCCAATTCCCGTTCCATGTGGGACTCAGATCCAGTGAGGTCAGACCTGAGTGTTTCGATAGGAGTTTCTGTTGCATTGTGATTTTGTTGCTGCTGTTGTTTTGAGATTGGATCTTGTCATACAGGCCAGGCTGCTCAGGCTTCAGGTTTCTGCATTCTGGGATTCTTGGCATGTGCCAACATGCCTAGACAATTTCTTGGTTTTCAGACGTTCAAGGCTGATAAGTGGATAGCTTTGTTTTGGTGCCTGGGTCACTGGGAGGGATGGGGTGGCAGGGTAACTCCCCCGGTCACAATTGTGGGCTGATGGCTCTATCCTAGTTCTGGAGTTGCTGTTTCTTTCTTTCCCCCTACTCCCATTCCTCCTCCCACCCTTCTTCCTCCTCAGGAATCCTTGAGGCTGAGGCTGAGCCTGGCAGGAGTAGGGTTCACTAAATGGACATTGTTCCTTGTTCTTACAGGGGTGGAGGGTGGGGAGGGGGATCCTTTGAGGAATGATGAAAGTACCTCATTGTCCCCCACCTCTGTTCCACAGAACCTGGGACTACCACTAAAGGGAAATCGTACACTGGCCTGGGCAAGAAGTCTCGGCTGATGAAGACAGTGCAGACCATGAAGGGCCATAGCAACTACCAAGATTGCTCAGCCCTGAGACCACACGTCCCGCATTCAAGTTACGGCACCTATGTCACCCTGGCCCCCAAAGTCCTGGTATTCCCTGTCTTTGTGCAGGTGAGCCTGTGACATGCCCCAGGATTCCCCTCAGGAGTAAGGGACCTTGGTTCCAGGAACGGGGGAGGGTGTAGCCTCATCCAGGATCCAGTGCCCCCCTTTGGGGTCAGAAAAATTGCTTCATATTCTGGAGGTTAAAAAGGAAGCAGAAGTTTCTAGAAGACTATTCAGAAAAGTGTGGAGCTGTGAGAGGGTCCTTGCCTTCTCCTCCCAGCTCCCTCTTCCTCTGGGGCCGGGAGAGGTGCACTACAAAGTCTGGCAGTGATGCTGGCTGCTTCACGCAGAGGCAGTTATGTTTGAAACTGACTGAGGGAGAAACAAATGCATCAGGCCAGCAGTCATGGTGCAGGAGCACAGAGCAGTGTCTCAGGAGTCACAGGCTTCTCCCCTGTAATCTCTCACTTCTTCCTGTCTCCCCTTCCTTCTCCCCCTCTTCCCGGCAATGAGTTAATAAGCATTCAGTCTTAGGTTCTGTTACAGCATTTCCAACCATGATTTGCTTTCTTCCTCCTCTTCTCCTACCCCTGCCCCTGGTAGGACTCTGCTGTCATAACCTCCTTCCCACCTTTGTGTCTTTTGTGTTCTATCCCCCTCTTCCCTAAACAACTCTCCTCTTGTGGATCCTTTTCTGGCTATATGGCCCATCCATACACATACATACGTATATATAATAAAAGCATTTAGAGCTAGAGTCTGCATATGAGAAAGCACATACTATATATGTCTTCCTCAGTTTGGGTTACCTTGCTTAATATATGTTTTAGATGTATCCAATTTTATGCAAATGCTATAATTAAGTTTTTATGGCTGGATAAAAGACCATTGTATATATACCTCATTTTCAAGATGAGTTTTTTTAAAAAAAATTAGTAGATAATTACCCCATGACCCAGTCATACTACTTCCAAGCACGTGTCCAAAGGACTCTATGTCTTATACAGAGATCTATGCACAACTGTGTTTATTGCTGCTGAGGTCAAAATATTAAGGGCCTGGAAAGAGCTTAGACAGCCAGTAAATGGTGAATAGGTAGTAAAAATGTTCTGTATCTCTTTTCTCTCAGATCTTTATTAATTCTGCTCCTTGGATATCACTTATATGACCTTTTAGGTTGTTTAGACATTTTTAAATATAAGAAGCTTTTATTTTCCACCATGTTGTTCCCCACTTTCCCTTTTCTTGCAGGGCTGGGGACCAAACTCAAGGCTTTGCTCAGGCTGTCCCCACACAAGCACTGAGCTGTGCCCATATATGCTCACAGCCCTTGGCTTTATAGACAGCCTTTCACTCTGTAGTTCAGGATGGCCCAACTCCATCCTCCATCTTCTGTATCCCGAGGACTAGGGTTATAGGTGCATGATATCTGCCTGATTATTTTTGGTTTTGTCTCTTAATTTTTATTACTAATTAAGTCTGGCAAGCTGCACCAATAGGGAAAGGTGCATGCTGCTAAACCTGACAACCTGAGCTTGATCCCTGGGACTCATATTGCAGAAGGAGAGAAGCGACTTCTGCAGGTTGTCTGCCTGCTTTCATACCATGGCATGCGCAAGCCTGTTCCACATATACATGTGCATGCGTGCATGCGTGCGTGTGTGTACGTGCGCAAACATGCTTGCCTACTCCCACATATACATATGTGTACATGCCTGCTACATATATTATGTGTCTGTACACATACACATTTAATAATAATAGTACAGTTTTTAAAAATTGGTAAAATTAGGTTTTGAGGTTTTTTTTTTTTTTTAGTTTTTGGAGAAAGGGTATCTATATAACCCTGACTATCCTGGACCTTACTTTGTAGACTGGGATGGCCTTGAATTTACAATGGTTGGTCTGTCTCTGCCTTCTGAGTGCTGGGATTAAAGGTATGGGTCACCATTCCCAGCTTAAATTTGTTTTTAAAATTATAAAAACTGAAAAAAAATTAAATTGTGAAATATTCAAGCCAAGAGATGGCAGCACATGCCTTAGGAGGCAGAGGCAGACAGATCCCTTGAGTCTGAGGCCAACTGGTTTACAGAATGAGTTCCAGGACTGCTGGGCAGCTGGGGCTACACAGAGAAACCCTGCCAAGAAAAGAAAAGAAAGAAGAAAGAGGGAGAGAGAAAAGACTCAAGGTAAAACAAACAAACAAACAAACAACAAAACAAAACAAAACAAAAAACCAGCATAAGACTTTCATGTGCAAAACAGAGACTCCGAGGTGAATGCCTACCAAGGAGTAGCAGTAGCTGTCCACACAGACACTGTCCCCTCTTGTGTGTTCTGGTGTTCTGCCTTCCCACCAGAGACCTCTCCACCTGGCTCCATGACTGAGCTGGCACTGCTTTCTATCGCATTTTCCCATCTGTTTACAGGTAGCCCTATCCCCGCTGTAGTACAAAGTTGATGCCTGTTTTGTTATCTGTCTACATCCCTTGCTTGAGGTCAGGGGACTTGGGGGCCATGTGACATAAATGTACACCCCCAAGGACAGGTGTTTCTTCGAAGGTCAGGCAGAGTTTGGGCATGCTCTTTGAGGTGGACGGGACAGGGTGGTGGGACTCGAAGTTTGAGTAGGAACTGGTTGCTGAGGTGAAGGAGTCAGTGTGCTCAGCCTGGGACCTAAGCAGGGTGGGGACCCGCCTGGCCTTGAAGAGACTTGAGTGCCCATATCTCTTGGCATAGGGCTCTGAAGATGGCTCCTGGGCCTGACAGCAGAGACCTCCCTCTGAGGCACACACAGGACAGAGGAGAGCCCGGAGTGGGGGCGGGCACCATGGGAGAACTGCAAGGCCCTGAGCATGAAGCTGAACTTCCTGTAGAGAGAGCAGTTCCTTTGATCGGGCCTGGCTGTGCCGAGCTGGAACACAGTCTTTCTCTTTCCATTGCGGGTGTGAGGGTGCGTGGGTCAGGGGTAGGAGGAGGGCAGGCAGTCTTGTCTTCTCCCTCTGCAAGAGAGTGCTCTGATCTGGCTTTGGCAAGCTGCCCTTTGCACTCCCACTCAGCGTGACTGGTTTTCAGCCCCTAGATCTCTGTAACCCTGCCCGGACTCTCCTGCTGTCAGAAGAACTGCTGCTCTATGAGGGGAGGAACAAGACTTCCCAGGTAAGACCGCGCGCTGGCTTTCTGGCTGGGCCTCTCTTCCCTCACTTTCTCTTCCAATGGAGAACTAGGCAGCCTCAGGGTGGAGACCTGAAACACTTCCAAAAGCCTTACCAAGAGGTCACCCAGCTCTTGTTTACCATCTAGTTATGATCTCTCTCTCTCTCTCTCTCTCTCCCTCTCTCTCTCTCTCTCTCTCTCTCTCTCCCTCTGTAGGTTGATTATTGGCATGGTCAAAGCAGACCTCTAGTCTCTAAAAAGACATCTCATTGTTTAGCCAGGAGGAGAAAAGATAAGTTTATTCCAGCAGAGATAAGCACCCCTGAAGATTAAAGTCTAGCCAAAGAGGAAAGAGGAATGTTGGAGTCTTTCTATATGAAGCCAACCTGAGACCCACTTCTGAGAGCTCAGTCCATGGTCACCCTCCATACCTCACCCCCCCAGCTCTAACCCTGTCAGCAGGGGTCAGGGGGTAGGTCACTCTTCCTGGGAGCCAGCTTATCTCCAGTTGTGAGAACCTCCCTCACCCACACAGTGGAGAGGTCAGGAAGCTTGGAACTAGGAAGTCTGTAATCCAGCCTCAGTTCTGTCACTGGCTTCTGGTAACTTCTGCCTTCCTTGTCAGTCTTACCATCTGAGCAGTGGGTTTGGGCCTGACCGAGGCAAAACACAGGGTCTGAGGCTAGCCCCTTGCAGCTTCATCCTCCTGGACACTCTGTGCGACTGGAGCTAACACCAGAAGTTGGATTTGCTTTTGTTTTGTTGTAAGCAAGCAGATCAGGACACCTGTGTTCACAGTGTCTCATTTAGGAGGGGTCCCCAGGGAGACCGTGTGCGTGTTCCTCCCCTGACTGGTGACTTTTTAGTGTGATGGGACCTTTCTCAGTCTTGTTGTACATGACTGAAGAGCATGAGATGCTGGAGCAGTCAATCATTAAGGACTGGCCTGGGACAGTAGCTCAGGGTTTGTTGTCTTAGGCCAGAGAAGGTTAATGGATGTGGCCTCTTGAAAGTGTGGAAAGCAGAAACTCTGGAGAGAGAGAGAGAGCGAGAGAGAGCACGTGGGGGGGGGGGTCCCCAGGGAAGAAAAATCCGCTGGCTTTCCTTTGTTTAGGCTTTATGAAGCAATGACAGAAACTAGACAGAAGCCAGTGTTGTCTCTGTTGAGGCTGGTTAATTCTCTGGGCTGTCATGGGGCAAGCCCACACGCTCTATGACTGTCCTCCTGGACTGACCGGGGAGATAGATCACACACTGCTCATATGCTGCCCACACAGTTATGGGTGGTTGACACCTCACTCCGCTCCTCTGTGACTTTAGCTTTGACCTTGACTTTCTGCTAGTTCTTAGTCACTTGACTTGGCCAGCTACTCTCCAGCCCTGCAAGTGTCTCAAGGGCTGTTCGTTGTGCTAAGCTGGTTCTCTTGCTTTCAGGATCAGCTTGTGGCTTTTCCATGGGAGAGGGAGTTACCTCTACCCCAGCCACCAAGTCACCTTTCGGTTACCTTCTTGTCTATGGCGTGGCCTAGAGTGCCTCCTGGGTGAAGCTTTTTGTTAGAAGCCACCCTTGCTTACAGTTTAGCCTGTCACAACCAGCTGCATTGGAGTCAAGGATATAAGAAAGAATGAAGGCATCTTAAACATGGCTCTAAGGGGCGGGCCCTTGGAGCCAGTGGCCTGGTGTCACTTTTTTTATCTGACCTGCTTGGTTATCTCATACCCAACTAAATGGAACTTTTAATTTTCCTTGCACCCCCAGTCTCAGTTCTCACCACAGCCTATGTGAACACCTCGCACACAGCCTTCACCATGGCCCTTTCCTTTTCCTATCTGCATAGAGCTCAGCTCCTGCACCCCTGGGATTGCTGTCCTCACTCTGGACCTCTCTTTGGAGAGCTTCTTTCAAGACCTCAGCCTATCTACCTCCCACTTACTTCAGTGGGAGAAAAATTTCACTGGGAGACAGGATGTAGGTTGTAAGAGTGAGAAGTCCCTTGGTGCTGGGTTTGGTGCCTCAGTGTGTGGTGGCAGGTGAAGTGTGCAGGGTCAGAGCTGGAGAGGTGTGACTGCATAGTTAACGTACCCAGAAGCCAGTTAGGGACGACAGCCACCGGGACTATTTACTCTCTCCTAGCTCACTCACCATTAAATCTACAAACATTAGGTATTTACTGTGTATCCTCACTGTTCATACATGCTACACGCATGATCCCATGTGGCATGCAGCATCCTCACACCAGGGGAGGAGAAGCACAACAAGGAGACTGAGACTCCTAACCAGGACTCAAGAATCTCAAGGCTGGTAGGGAATGGAGTCAGGATTAGTACTTGGTTCTCCAGCTGGGTAATGCTTTCCATGATCCCTGGCGCTTTGGGTATGTTTGTAAAACCAAGATAACACAAGCCAAACTATAGCTGTAGTAACAGTTCACTCCCCTCTCCCACCCCCAATTCCCATCTCCCCATCTCCAACAAATACACACAAATTCTTGCCTCCTAGATCTTTGGAAGCTGAGAACTAAAAGAAACTCTCCCTTTAAGACTGAAGGTAGTCTTTTTTTTGACAAGAAAAGTAAGTACATCCCTTCTCCTAGAAGTAGGATAGCAGCAGCCTCATAGGAGAGCTGTTCCTCAAACTGTTCCTCAAACTGAAAATGGAAAGCAGCTATCGCCAGGCATTGGGTAGCTTCTGAGAACATGGCGGGGCGGGAGGATGGGGTTCCTAGATTCTGGTTACTCTGTGTCATTCTCCAGGGAATAATAGCTTTTCTCAAAGGGGTTTCTGAATGAGTATGGTGGCCTCTCCACACAGCAGAGCTGTAAACTGGAAGGTACTAAGTAGTTGGAAGCTATGCGTGTCTTGAGTATTCTCTCTCTTGCTTCTTTATCACAACTCTTCTGTGAGCACGGTGATGTCGGGGAGCTGCGCTTGTCCCCGCCGCACAGACTGCTCTCTCTGGATGCACACCCGGATCAAATTACCATTTAGTGGCAGCCCGTTTGTTTGTTTGTTTGTTTGTTTTTGTTTTTGAGAGAAGCTTTGTCTGTATAGATGCGGCTGTCCTAGAACTCAATTTGTAGAGCAGGCTATTCTCGAACCTAGAGACCTGCCTGCTTCTGCTGGGATTAAAGGCATGTGCCAAAGTCAGGCTCAACCCAGACTCTTACACACATCCTGACCACAGTTCTGGTCACTGGAGATTCAGCCAGAGCTTTTGCTAGGTTCCAGGAATACTATGAAGTCCAAGATGTCACACCCTCAGTTTACACAGACTCACTGGGTTTACCATTAACTGAAGCACTAAGGTGTTGTCTATAGGTAGGCTCAGCCCCATGGCTGGGTGCCAAGGAGAAGGCTTTAGACAGGGCCATTTGGAAGAAGTCACCCTCTGAGTTGTAAGGATTCCGTGACTAATCTTGGGATTCTGGGAAATACATGTGTCCTAAGAACAAGTGTGGGGAAGCCTGGCCCAGGCCCCAGGGCCGGTGGTGGAAGGCAGCAGGTAACTGGACCGTGGAGATAGGGGTCAGTGCTCCATGGATTGTGAGGCTCCTGACTGTAGGATGTTGGGGAGCAGCGTCCACATGCTTTGCTCTGGTATGCCTGCCATCCAGCCCTGTGCCAGCCTTGGCCTTTGCCTGACTGACCTTAGGGGGAAATTTTCTCTCATGCCTTAATCACTTCCTGTCTAGACCATATTCTCAGCTCTGGGAGCAGGCGGGGGACAGGGCAGTGGCCTAGAGCTGTTCTCACCTTGTGGCTCCTCCCACAAGTCCTAGGCTTTTTTTTTTTTTTTTTTTTTTTTTTAATTTTCTAATCTCACAGATTGTCTTTTCTAACTTTTCTTCTGTCAGCTTCCCTATGGTCTGGAAGTGACAGCCAGACCTTCCCTGACTAGGGAAACATGTTTTGTAGGAACATGAGGGTTTGCCTACAAGAGTGGCCCCTTTGCAGACCTTCCTCAGACCACCTGTAACTACGACTCTACTGAGTGCGCCATTGTTTTCCTTCCTATGCTTACTGAATTTATTGTCTCCTCTGCTATATAGCCCAATACCACCTCTCTCTCATTAGAAGTAGGCTGACCTGAGCATTGATCCCTAGCTGTGTGGCCGTGGGAAAGTCCCTTAACCTGTCTGAGCTGTAAAGGCCATTGATACTTTTTAAGTGAGAACGGAACAGGGCAGGAGCAGGCGCTCACCAGTGGGGATGTGTCTATTGCACTGTATTGAGCTGGGCTGGGCAGGGTTCACTATCATGATCCCTTCTGGAGGGGCTGGAGAGACAACTCAGCAGCTAAGAGCACTGCTTTTGCAGAGGTTCTGAGTTCAATTCCCAGCAACCACATGGTGGCTTACAACTGTAATGGGATCTGATGCCCTCTTCTGGTGTATCTGAAGACAGTGACAGTGTATTCACATACATAAAATAAATAAATCTTTAAAAAAATATTCTCTCTCTCTCTCTCTCTCTCTCTCTCTCTCTCTCTCTCTCTCTCTGCCTCTACTACCCTTCTGGCTCCCCTTCCCATGCCCTGAATAAACTCTATTCTATACTTAAAAAAAAAATTCCCTTCTGGCAAAGAATTCTAGCTTTTTTTTTTTTTTTTATGAGTACACTGTAGCTGTCTCCATCGGATCCCATTACAGATGTTCAGATGTTATGAGCCACCATGTGGTTGCTAGGAATTGAACTCAGGACCTCTGAAAGAGTTGTCAGTGTTCTTAAATGCAGAGCTATCTCTTCAGCACTCAAAGTCTAGAGCTTTTGTGTTTGGGATCTGTTGGAAGGTGACATGGTCCTGAGATAGTCTGCATAAGTAGATCATGGAATTGTCTGTGTAGTCCTAATTTCTTCCACGTTCCATTCTTGTGTAAAGCTCAAGATGGCAGGTGGGCCTTTGAATACATCTTACATACATCTATATGTGTACATATACATGCACATATGTATGTATGTAATATATATGTATGATACATATATATAAGCTTTTACCATATTGCCCAAATTAGCTTAGAGTTCACTGGATACCCTGGAATAGCCTGTAACTCGCAGTTCTCTTGCTTGGCTAGCAGACGGCTGGAATTGTAACTGTATATAACCATGCTCTGCTTTTATTTTTTTAATTACAGAAGTGCCACTGAGAACATCCTTATATGTTCATATTTATACATTCTTGTATTTCTCTAAGAGAGCCTCAGAGGTGGGACTGTGGGATCATCTTGAACAGCTCGCTGGCTAAATGTCAGCATGCTGGCTTTTTAAACATAGCTAACAAATCACATACTGTGCCCTTCAGGATGTGCCAAGCCCTTCTGGAAGAGTCGTCTTGCTTCAGAAGAGATGGAGGGTCAGATATGGCCCCTTGAAGAAGAGCCTCATAATGATTAATTTATTATTACTATTATTATCATCTGAGAATGGACTTTATGGATTTAAGGAAAGAACAGGTTTACACTGGACATAGAGAACCAAGTGGATTTTCTTTTTCAACATAAAAACATGCTGAGCACATCTGTCAGTTTACCTATAATGTATAAAAACGGCCTTTCCTTTGTTTTTGGAGCATAAAGATTAGCAATTATGTGCAAACCAATATCAGAATGTAAGTAACTACCATTTTCTTGAACCAAATTTCTCATTGGTACACTACAAAAATACCTGCAAGAAATCTGGTAATATCACCTCATAAATTGTCCATTCACATGATACATAGCTTGTAGCAGAAGCTTGAGGGAGCCAGGTATGGTCTGGGGACACCCCAGGGCCTAAGTAAGACTCCTCCAAGTTAAGTTAAGTGAGGCTGGAGAACTATGACCATAGAAAGACCGACAGAGATACCCCTCATGAGGACAAGGACCATTGTTTCCTCTGGTTTATTTTTATTTGTCTCTATTACTTTGAGCAGGGGGAGTATAGAAAACTCGGGGATAAACTGGCTGTTCTCGCTGTAGTACAGGCCTCTGTCATTAGCATGGCCCCACATGGAGTTCCTTCTGGCTCTGTCTGACACTAGAAGTCCAGGGTGTGTTTCCTGGACCTCTAGTGGACCTTGTGGCTCTCTGCATCCTGGAGGACAGCAAAGCAGACAGTTGTGTTTGCTCTCTCCCTGAACAGGTGACACTGTTTGCTTACTCGGACCTGCTGCTGTTCACTAAGGAGGAGGAGCCAGGCCGCTGCGACGTCCTGAGAAATCCTCTCTACCTCCAGAGCGTGAAGCTACAAGAGGGTAAGAAGGACCTGGGCACCCCGATGTGCTGTTGGGTCTGCCTGGGGTTGCCAGATATTGCACACTAGGCCAGCAAGCCTCCTTCTGCTATACCTGATCTCTGCAGGAGGTTCTATCCTAGGGAGCGTCTATGGAGAAGGGTAGGGGGAGCTTTGGACTCCCAGACCTTGTGTTCAAGCCCCTCAGTTCTGGTGTGGCCTTGGGAAGTTACTTCACTTTTCTGAGCCCAGTTTCCTCTCTGTAAAGTAGGGTAATTATAGTGCTTCAGAAGGTCGTGGGGTTAAGTTAGGTCATTTACACAGAGTGCCTGGCTCCAAACAGATTCCCTGTAGAGGCTTTCTTGACAATTATCTGTGGACAATTCCTCTTTTCAGCCAGCTGTGTAGGTCTGCTCAGAACCTTGGGAAGCTGGAACGTGCCTGATTGGGGCCGTGAGCAAAGCATCAGCAGCAAGCTGGGAATTTCTAACCCCAAACTTTCCATGGTGCCCTGGCCCATGGGGGGACGAGGGAACGGAAAGCCAGCTGGGAGTATCTTCCAGCCGCAGGCTTTGGCGCCGGAGGTCTCAGCCGAAAGGGGCTCGGTTTCCTCTCCCAGATTATGCAAACAACAACAGACCTGTTTGAGATCAGGGCAGCAGGGGCACGGGGAGGAAAATATTAGCTGTGAAAGAATTCTGTTTTGGCTGCGTTTTGCTTCAGGAGAACTTCCTGACTGTTTGCAAAGCCATCCTGTGTGCTCTGTGCCCTGGCTGCTCTGCCTCCTTGGGGACTGGCCTTCCCATGGGAAGTCCTTCACAGTGTTCCCTCTCTGTCCTGCTCAAGGACTGGGGTGTCTACTGACAGGAGAGCAAGGGAGGCAGCCAAGGAGAAAGCAAGATAGGGCAGTTGGAAGAGCAGGCCTCTCAGCTTCTTGGTTCCTGGCTCTGGAACCAAGTGCCCTCCAGTCACTCTGCCATTGGCTTCCTGCTACTTTCTCACCTTGCCCTGTGGTCACATGGATGCTTAGTATAGTCAGCCTGACTTCCCTGCCGCACCCCCAGTTCAGTTGATCTGGGACTTGGTTAAGATGTATGTGCACCTAGTAGAGTGGTGCTCAGTACCATGTGCTAGGTGCACCAGGACCTGAGCCCTGAGTGCTGTGTACATTGAAGGTCCTGGGCCACAAGCCAAGATCCTCACTGGCTCAACTTCCTGCTAAATGGAAGGAGGGAAATGAATTGGGGAGAGGACTGTTCCCGGTGGATCTGGGGTTAGAGGGTAGGGAGAGCAGTGGCTGCGGGATTGGGGGCCGAGATTTGACATCATTACTGTAACATATGCTTGTAAGCATGCTGGGCCCTCTTCTCTGATAGCCCCAGAGGGAACCCCCTGGGCTCCTGGGAAGAGTGGTCATGACCAGTATTCATATTACCCTGTTTCCATATTGGGATATAGAGGGTGGGGGCTGGCTAGACTGCCCCTTGTAGAGCTCCCAGAGCCTGGATATGAAGCTTGAGGGGTTTGGACACTCTCCTCTACCAGGTAGTGATGTTCAGGTTGGGTGGTACAAGCTAAGGGATGCAGAGGCGCTCCCAAGAGGCTGAGATGCATGCAGATGTGGCTTCCTGGGGCGGAGACCATGTCTGCCCATAGATAATGGGACAGCCACATAAGAGCTAAGGGTGGGTGGCCCAGGCGGCACAGTACAGGCGAGGTGATCATGGGCATGAGAGCCTATGGGGTTGGTTGGCATGGAGGATATGTACCTGTACTGGATTTCCTTGGTAGACCACGGCCTTAAGTGGGTTCGACAGTGGCCTCTGGGAATCCTGGAGCTGCTGAGGTGGAGGGAAATGGCTAATGATAAGAGCATTCCAGGCACTCGGTTCAGGGCTTAGACTTCTTTCCAGGCACCGTGGAACCTTTGTAGCCAACCCACCCCCCACCCTCACCTCTGCCCCACCACTCCTGCTTTCCTGAGATAGGTTCTATGTTCTACCAAACTCCAGGGCCCCTTCTGCAACAGCCAGAGTCAGCTGTGGCACCCAGTGTTTAGAAGCTGAGGGCATTTCCTGGCGTCTCCCATATGTCCACTACCACAGCAAGTGAGGCTATTAAGAGATGCATTTGGGAGTTAGCTGGAGTGTCTGGTGGCACAAGGGTCTCTAGCTCACCCTGACACGAGACTCCTAGGTTTCTTCTCGCTTTCAAGTCAATATGTATGCAGAATTGGATTTAGGAGGCCATAGAGGTATTAAACAAAGAAGGCATCCAGCCTTCTAAACAGACTGGGGCTGCTGGCAAGTGCTGCTCCCTGGCAGGGCAGAACCCACCCTCTCCCTGGAACTCCCTTGTGACTTGTTTGCTAGGGTCAACCTCTGCTAGTCACCCATGTAGGGAGCATGGCATATATCAGGTGACCAGTGGATGCTTGTTTTTGTAGACAATGAATAGCTAAAAGGAGACCAGAGTGTTGCTTTAGCTTGGGAGCTGGGGTGTCTCCTCCTGCTAGCTTCTCCCAGTGTTCAGCGGGACTGAATGGAGATGTGATGGGAACAGGCAGAGAGCTGGTGTTCACAATTGGGACATCTCCGGTCAGCGGGGACCCATTGTGGTCTCTTCCTGTCACGGCTGTCTGCTGCTTCTGCTACTCTTTTGTGTTTCTGCCTCCCAGGCGGCCAGCATCACGCCCACAGTGTGTCTTTCTGGCCTTGCCTGTTCTTAGGCATGACCTGGAAATGTCTATCTGACTCATGGGCTCTCCAGGCACGTTGAGGGAGCCAGGATCCCAGCTTGGAAACTAAGCTGCTTTGGCCCAGCTGCTGAAATGCTTGTTCGACATTTTGTAAGCTGTCCTCCATGTCTGCCTCAGTGCTGGCCACTGCAGTGAGAACTGTGGAAGAGGCCTCTCCACTCTGGAGCTCCCAACTGGGTGGAAAGCCTGTGGCAGGGCAGAAGTACGATATAGGATTAGGAATTCTGGCTTTGGGGATAGCTTTCTTCCTGAGTTCAAATCTCAGCCCTGCCTCTTACTGTTCATGCACTTTGTTGTCCCTCCCCCACCCTGCCTTTGTATGTGGAAAACAGAGACAAGAGCTCTTTGGCCTGCCTCCGCTAGTAGAGAAGGTTTGCTGAATCTCAAGGCAGCAGTAAGACATTCTCTGGGTAAATGTTAGATGGGCAGGCAGGGGCCGGGAAGCCTTTTCTGGGCCCCACCTAGCCCATGGTTAGGGAGTCTCTTGCATGGTTTGTGCATTACATGGTGGGATGTAAAGGCCCCCTCTGGATGAGTTCCAAAATGGCAGAGGCAGTTAGCATGATTCAAGGCAAACTCACCTGTGTGCCACCTCAGTGTCCCTCTCTTCCCGCAGGGCAAAGCTCTGCGGTCTTCTCCATAGCTCCAGGCAGTCCCCCCTGGCTACCTCAGCTCCTTCAGTTTGTCATCCTTCCATGAGGCTCAATATCATATCGTGCTGAGCACGGCTCCCCTTCCACCCTATTGTCACACTGCTGCCGACACAAGGCTGCGATGGGGAACAGGTGCCAGCAGGAGCTTGCAGCAATCCAGCAAGGTTGGAGGGGGCAGGACTGGTGTCAAAGCACAGAGAGCTTGTCATTCATCAATGGCTTCCTGACACAATGACTCTCTGACAGTGTGCTTCCCCAACCTCAGCTCCCATCTCCCCAAGTGTCTCCTCTCTCAGCCCCCGCTCTGTACTTTCAGAGCCTCTGCTCCCCTTATCGCCTGCTCCCCAGACCCAGGTTGTTCTATTACTTTCTTAGGTGGATTGCAGTGGCTCTCCCTTAGACTAGGGTCTACTAGGAAACACCTCAGTATCTTTTCTTTAAAAATAATTTATTTTTATTTTATGCGCCTTGGTAGTTTAGGTGCCTTGGTATGTCTGTGTGAAGGTGTTGGATCCTCTGGAACTGGAGTTATAGATTGCAATCTGCCGTGTGGGTGTTGGGAATTGAACCCAGAGCAGTTAGTACTCTGAACTGCTGAGGCATCTCTCCAGCCTCTCCATATATTTTATTAAGCAAAATAAAACTCCTCCCCGTCTCCATCTCAGCAACACAAGGAATCCACAGAGCCATTGGGATCCATTTTCTTAAACACTACAGACATCTGAGACTTGGCTCTCTCCCTCTTCAGCCCGTTACCAGGTGGGGAGAGGACTTAGTCCAAGTCCAGAGTGGACTCTCTTCTCTCATGGAACATGTTGTTCTGGCTCTGCCTGGTGGCTCCTGTCCTTTGGGAAGTGTCCACTCTCTTGCTTGAAGAGACCTGGCTTCTCCTGGTTAGGTCTCTTCTCCCTGTGTGTTTAGATCTAGGCTTGATGTGATTTTTACCTTGAAGGTAAAACCTTCTCTTTGTGACAAACCCTGTTTGATTTGATAGTTCCTTTGCCTTAAATATGCATTGAAGGGGATCCTGCTGGAGCTTGGCGTTTAAGAGGCACGATGTACAGAGGTGGAGTGTGGGCCAGAGCTGGGCTACAGATCCTCTTTACTGCCTGGCTGAGTGATTTCATCCCTGGGTCCTATGTTCTCACGTGAGCCACGAGCTGTGGATGCTGGGAACCCTGCTTGTTGTCAAGAGTGAATACAGAAGCAAGCACTCTCCCAGGGAGCTACCCTCAGCCCTTGAGCTGACTGGTGGAGGTACTCCAGGGTCCCTGACATTCCAAGTGCTTGCTGTTACATGTGTTAGATAGCTGCTTTCCTCAAAAGTGACACCCTGCTTGGTAAGGCCAACTGCTGAATGTGCAGGGAGTTTCCAACCCTCCCAGGCCTGTGTCCAGATGAATGCTTCATGGAAAGTGTGGCCAAGTCCTGAGGAGAGGCTGAAGTGAGCAGGGCAGGTGTCCTGGTGGGGCGGCTCTGCTTCTCTGTGCTTACTGGTGCATCTCCTTCCCCATGCCTTTGGACATGCTGGACCTACCTCCCAGAGTCGTCTTCCTTTCCATCTGGAGTTCTCTCTGAGTAAGACTCTTCTTAAGAAGGGGAGGGAACAGTCCACTGTCCCTTCCTGTTTATTCCAGTTGTAACTGATTCAGTTTGCAATCCCAGATCAGGAGTGAAACCCTTAGAGAATGGCGCCATGTTGGAAAGCTGTCTCCCAGGATGCATTGAGATGGGATTGAAGATCATCCCTCCTTGACCTGCACTTCCCTTAGTGAGGAACAAGGCCCCCTCAAGAATCACATGGCTTCCTGTTGAATTTTGAAATTCCTGTTGAATTTCAAAATGGCAAAGGCAGTAGATTGTCTAAGAGAAAACCCAGAAGTGTGCTGCCTCCTTGCTTCCTCCTTGCAAGGATTCTGGGGCAGAGGAGGCCTTCTGGGATGCAGACAGCTCCCTGCATTTGGCTGTTAGCCCTCAGAGGGTCTCCTTTCTGAGGATGTGGTTCCAGCATCCCTGAGTCAGGCTGACCCGCAGGCAGAAGCCTTTCAATTGTGCATTGCCTGGATGGCTGAGTTAGTGAGCTCTGCTTTGCAGGGTGTTCTGCTCCCACGGCTGCCCTCTCCTCCCTCCTGTTCTGGGAGGCACCACACACAGCCTCCTGGGTGAGAGAGCTGTGCCCAGCGAGGCTTTGACTCAGTTGCCAACCCTAATGTGAATCTTCTTTTCTATTCTTATCAAAGGTTCTTCGGAAGACTTGAAATTCTGTGTGCTGTACCTGGCAGAGGTGAGTCCCTCTCTCTCTCTGAACTAGAGGAGAGTAAAGTGTGACCTGGTACTGGAGGAAACCAGGCTTGAGGTTGGCCTCCTTATAATCTTAAAGTGACCCAAGACAAAGTTAGGGCAGTTTCTTGCTCTGTAGAATGCAGCTGACCCTGCTCTTATGTCTGTGTGAGAGGTGAGCTAAACAGATGGTTTTCGGGATGCCCCCGAGATACCCTGCTTGGTACCTCCAGTGTCCCCGAACCTGTAAGTGTCCTGAGGGTGTGGCCTGACAGCTGCACACTACCCTGTTTATTTATTTAGTAGCCCTCCTTCTGGAGATTGTCCAGCTCCCACGCCTGCCTCTTTTATCCTCTTTTTCCAGGAAGTACCACCCACCACCCCTCCTACTAAGGCTTGTCAGTGTTTCAAAGGCCTGAGGTAATTGTTCCTTCACCTGGGCCAGACACAGCAGGCTAAAGCAAGCACCTTGCATCTGTGTTTGGCTCAGGGTGATGCCCACGAGAGTGATTGATGCTCTTGGTGATCTCTGACTAGGCTTAGTCAGCTGTACCTTTCAGCAGCAAAACCAAGCAAACAGCTTTTTGCTCGATGTGGTTTGGTAGGTAAACCAGGGCTTTAACCAGCGAGGTCCTTACAGATGAAGAATTTGAGAGCCACAGAGTCATCCAAATTCTTTCCAGATTCCAGTGTAATTTTCTATCCCCAGCCTTGTTCTGCTGACATGTGGCATCTCTCCAAGCAAGGCCCATCCCTGCCCTTTGCTGTCTTGTGTCTTGCCAGCTGTCCTGGGAGCCTGTCTATATGGATGGGGGAATGAGTTATAGGGCTGGCCGAGAGGAATATACCTTTCTGAGAAGGAATTTGTACCCTTTGGGATTGAAAAGCATTTCTGCAGTTCCTGGCTAAGATAAGAGGTATACACCTTTGAACAGACACCAGGGACAAGAAAGTTTGCTGAGAACTTCCCTTTGGGGGGGGAGGTATGCTGAGAGTTTGCCAAGAGGCAGTGGAAGGTGTCATAGTAGAACTGGGAACTCAGGTGCTTGAAAGTAGACCTGTGGGCAGTGGCAGCGGCAGCGGCAGTGGCAGTGGAGGTCCTCCCCTGTGTCACCCACAACTCAGCCCTGGCACAGGGGTGGCTGGTAAACTCCTTTCAGCATTGAAGGGTGTTTGGTTCCACTGAGCCAAGTGAGTGAAGTATAGAAGGGAATTGTGGGGACAGGGCTGCCCCTGCCCCTGGCCCCTCTGGCTTCCCATATGCTCCATTAACTTCTAAAATGGGGCTCCAGGCTCTCTAGCAGTTAGAGAGCTTCCTGCCAGACTGGTGTTCTGTTTTCCTGGAGAAAAGCCCTTCTGCCCATAGCGCCTGAGACCTTCTTTCTAGTCTTCTAAAGATTGGCAAAGCGCTATTGATCCGAGGCCTTGAATTTCCAGAAACCACCAGGTGACTGGACACCAAGAGAGGAGGAGAGTGCAGCTGGAAGCCTCTCATCTTAATGGGCCGCTACTAATGAAGGGCAAGCCTGTGGTGCAGGGAAGACCACACTGCTTGCTTGCTCGTAGACCTGAGTGTTCTCGACACAAGTGGTGTTGACACAAGCGGTGTTGGGCCCCATGGAGCCCCCAACCAAATTTTAGAATCTCTACTGAATAGTTTATTCCTCATTGCCTGGTATGTAAGTGGCACCTCAAGAAGAAACCTGGGGAGGATTTGAGGTTTGGAGAGGGTTCCCTCCTCTGCATTCAGAAAGCCACAACTGCCCTGGGGGCGAGGCAGCAGGTTGGTCCTAGGTAGGACCACCCTAAGCAGTTTTTTTGTTTGTTTTTTTGAGAAAGGATTTCTCTGCGTAGCCCTGGCTGTCTTAGAACTCGCTCTGTAGACCAGGTTGGTTTGTTTCTACAGAGTGCCAGGATTAAAGGTGTGAACCACCACAATTCCTGGCCTGCTCATGGCAGGCTTAATCCCAAGGTCAGCTGTCCCTCAGTCCTTGCCAATCTGGGATAGATGCAGCCCACAGCTAGCTTAAGAGCATGGAGGCATGGAGCACATTGTTTGGAAGTCTCTCTCTCTCTCTCTCTCTCTCTCTCTCTCTCTCTCTCTCTCTCT